CTTGGTCTCAACTGCTTCTGCCCATCTATGTGTTAGGTAAACTAGAAGATCACCGGCTGAGCGACCTCGACGGAAGCCGTACTGGCGGTCACTGATCAGCCGGTGCTCTTCTAGGTACCGCAGGAGCTGGCAGTTAATAATGGACTCCATTATCTTGGAGAACAAGGAGGTAATGGCTATAGGCCTGTAATTGGAGGGATCCGAGCGGTTTGCCCTTTTTTGGGATCGGGTGCACTAAAGCGGCCTTCCAGGATTTCGGGACTACGCCTAGTGAATAAGAGTGCCGGAAAAGACGCGTTAAGACCGGTGCCAACTCCGGAGCACATGTCTTCAACACGATCGGAGGGATGCCATCGGGCCCACTCGACTTATGAATGTCCAAGGAAAGAAGTGCTTTCCGAACTGCACTTTGCCGAAACTGAACTTCCGGCATGGTAGTATCACACCGCGGGATTGTCGGTGGTGAGTTTCCTTGGTCATTCAGAGTCGAATTGGACGCGAAGAGAGTGCCCAGTAGTTCGGCTTTCTCCTTCGCGGTATGAGCCAGCGAGTCATTCTCCGTGTGCAGAGGTGGAAAAGAAGGCTTACAGAAATTCCCTAAAACAGCTTTGGAGAGAGACCAAAACGCACGTGTTCCTGAAGGGAGACGCCCCAATCTCTCGCCAATTCTGCCATTGTGTTTCGACTTCGCATTAGCGATACTATTTTTGAAGGACCTGGAGGCAAAGTTATACTCCTTTTTAAAGGCGCTCGTATTTACATCACTAGACGCCGATGCGCCAGCCCAGGCTTGGTAGCATTCCAGCTTTCGGCGAGATGCCGTCTTACAGGAGTGACCAAACCAAGGCTGGGATTTGCCTCCAATGGGTACTGCAGAGAACGGAATAAATAGTTCCATACCCTGAAGTACCACATCGGTGACAGCGTCAGCAACGACGTCTGGATCATCTGGCGAGAAGCAAATTTGCCCCCATGGGTAGGACGCAAAGAATGACCGCATCCCGTCCCAATCCGCTGACCTGTAATGCCATACACGGCGACAGCCCGCAAAGCGAGGCCGTGTTGAGCACGTCACTGGCACTGTACTCCGGACAAGACAGTGGTCCGACGAACCAAGAGGGGGATCGACGGAGACCAGGTAGCCGTCCGGATGAGAGGTCAACAGAAGGTCCAACAGAGAAGGTGTATGATCTTCCACATCAGGGATTCGCGTTGGCGAGGTAACCAGCTGTGTCAGATCATATGCCAATGCGAAATCGTGAACAGATCTCCCCGCATGATCGGTAGTACGTGATCTAAGCCATTCTGTATGATGGGCGTTAAAGTCGCCGAGAATCACGATCTCTGCGGAGGGGATCTGCTGGAGCACGGAATCTGTAGCCATTTGCATGTGCTCAACGAGTCGTTCAGTTTCGGCATTGCCGCTATGAGACCTATACAGGCACGCGTAGATTCGCGGATGGTCGTCGCAGTCTACACGTAGCCAGAGGATGGATAGGTCCCGCCCTTCAAGGCTGCCGAGGCGACGACAGCAGATGTCTTCTCTGACGTACACGCACACTTCAGCCCGCGGTACAAAGGAATGCTCCAAATTATATCCCGGGTAAGAGAGGAAAGAGGTGTCAGTCGGGGACGATATCTGCGTCTCAGTAAGGAAGAGCAAGGCCGGCTTCGCCGTCTCAAGGTGGTAGTGGACGGCGTTCAAGTTGGAATTTAGCCCCCTTATGTTGCAGAAGTCCACAGCAAGTGTGAAAGGGTAGCCTTATGTGGCCTGCTCCGCTTGCCCCGAACAGAAGCCGAGAGCGCAAAATTGCCCTCCCCAGAATTCGGAGGGCAGCCTGGGCACCCACGCTCAGGTAGTGTATGAGCTGAACAGGGATGCCCAGAGAGGGATTCTCCACCGCGATGTGCGCTGGTGGTACCCTCCTGGGGTAGTCTAACCGAATTTCGCACTATCATGTATTTAGTGGTGTGGGGGAGGGGCGGGGAGTGGGCCTCCCGGGACTCTCACTTACCAAACGAAACGCGACAGCATAGCTGCCACTTTACGCCGGACTTCTGTGAGAGAGTGGTACTTTACGGGACGTACCGGCCCATTCGGCTGCTACCCGAAGGTAACTAGCATGGCACTACCACAGTTTTCGTTGACTGATTGCACTGGTGGAATAATCTCTGTCACTAGATTATCCCACCAGCGGGCGGTGGGGTCGTCACGTCCCGACGCCTAAAAATCTACAGAAAATTTTACTATAATAATGCAATATTATAGTAAAATTTGAGTAGAAAATGAGTATATTGGTCAAGCCATGTTTCCAAAGATGATTAGTCGAAAAAAAATCCATTCAAACCAAAAATTTAAATTAATTATTAGAAAACCCACTTCAGTGTTAAGTAAAATAAAAAAATTAAAAAAAAATTTTTTTCTCTAATTCTACTCCCAAGCTAAGAAAAAAAAATTTTTTTTCGCCCTACCCTAATATACATACGTACGTATATACACGCGTACACGCATGTACAAACATTTCTTCTATGCTTACACACGCACATGCTTACACGCAAGCATACACATATGCAAACAACTACACATACGTATTATGTACAATACACTTAGTAACAATTTAAATAAGAAATTCCCATTTTTTTTGTTTCAGAATGAGTGCTCTGGTTGAACACCGCACCTAAGCTGTTTTATTTTTATGCTTAAAAGTGTCTTAGCATATCAAGAACATATATGAACCAAAGCCAACCAAAACTTCAATGATGAATAAAAACATTTATCAAAACTTTTAATAATACTATGAAGTATATGTTAACACGCTCTACGTACATTACTTATAATTTTAAGTTCACATTTTTCTTATAAGTTCATAAGAGCTCATAATGTATTTGAGTAAGAAAATTCTTCATTTCATTTACTTTTTAATTTTAATATAAAAGTAAATTTGTTTTATTAAAATTGTCCATGTGCCTTATGTACCAAATGTAAAACACTTTAAACTAAAAACCCTTTTTACCAAAAATTCAACATATACGTATGTGGTAATTGTATTATATACCTAACTAGCATTGCCCGCGGCTCCGCCCGCGTTCAGATGACCAAAAACCAAATTCTTAGGTTTTACATATTAGTATACTCTTACATCGCAGTTTTTGTATTTTTCTCAAAAATGAGATATTTTTCCGCGGTAAAAAGTATCCTATATGTTGACCCGAATAACCACCTACCATCATACTAAATTTCATCAAAATCCCTCCAGTGGTTTTTCCGTGATGCGGTAACAGACAGACAGACAGACGGATAGACAGACAGAAAAAAATTCTAAAAACTATAGATTCGGCCTCTGTATTGATAATAATGTCTATTTCAATAAGATTTTCCAAAAAATATTTAATGTACAGATTCGACTCAGTTAGAATTTTATTATATGTATAGATTATAGTACAATATGAAGCAATCTTTGTATATTTGACACTATACTCGGATATGCAATTAAGATCTAAAGTTTAAACAAAAGTGTTCCCAATTTAAAACAATAACCTCTTTTATATTACTTATAACTAAATATAACATCAAAAACTGCAAAATTTGTTTATGATATATATAATGTAACGCAGAAGCTCTCAACATTTGGCTCTTAACCCATATTTTTTTATGTATTTAATATTGTTAAATTTCATCTCCGGGTATGGTTAACTGCTTTTATATAAACAATACTATAGTTATTCATTTAATTATATATTTTTGATACTTAATATTTTCATATATTGTAAGGTTTTGTATGGATAAATAAAACAATTTGTATTGAAGTCTAACTAGCGTTATATTTTCCTTTCTCCTCTCCACTTCTATATTTAATATTATAAAGAGAATAGATTTTTTTGTTTGTTTGTACTGAATAAGCTCCGAAACCACTCAACCGATTTACATGTTTGGTAAGAATATAGATTGAGACCCTAGGAAGGATATAGGATAGTTTTTATCCCGGAAATCATCCCTTAAGGGGGTGAAAGTTTGTATTTGGAAGCAACCTAGAACTACGAACTCGAACGAAGCGAGGGTGAGTCGCTAGTGTTTTATAACTTATACCTCAGTACCTATCGACCTTATATTTAATGCCTTTTGACATGTGGACAAGGGGCTCTTGTTTATATATAATATTGTAATTTTGAATAATTTCATATTTTATCAAGGAGGCATTATTTAAAATATCGGCCAATATTTAATTATCTTCATAAAACGAATTTATGATGACCAAAATAAACTGAAAATAATGTAATAGATATAAATCTTATTTACAAAACATAACATACAAATGTTGCACAAATATTTTAATAATGTATTCGCCACCAATTGTATATATTTAAAATAATATTCTAACATTTATTAGTAACTCTTGATAATTTCTTTCGAAATTATAACAACAAAACCATCTCTTAGTCAAATATTAGAAACAGGACTACCATAAACTATATATATATATATATATACTGCACCTAGGACTCAGAATCGGTTAAAAAAACGGTTAATTTCGATAATGTTATGGTTAATTTATCGCTCGTTTATTAATGGGTTAATAAATAAGGTTAAGCTTAGGTTTTGATCCCGAAATACCCGGTTAGTTCTAGAAACGTACAAGCATCTTTCTAGTTTCTACTACGCAATTTACCATTACAAAAGATTCGCCAAATATAAGTAAACAATTCGACAACTTATTTTAACCCGAACCCTGGCTTTTTGTACCCCTTGTTATTTATATAATCTTTATTAAGACTTATAAACTTTATATATATAGTCTGTGTTGACACTTGACACTTGACAAATGACAATCGAGTCAGACAACTAAAGTGAGTTCTGATCATCCATGGTTCTGACACAGTGCAAAATAAAAACAAAAAAGGATTGAATTAAAACATAGTGGTTAAATTCTCTTTGAATTAAATAACAATACGAAATAAACAGAATACATTTTAAAATATATAAAGGAATATTATCAAAGATCATGGCATTTGTTTACCAAGGGGATGCAGACTTGGAAATGAAAGCGAAAAAAGGTAAAATATGCGACACAAACAATTTATATTAAGTTATCCTTCGAACAAAATATAAAAAAATATACTTGATTTTTAGCTGCTGAACGTATATCGGAAAATATGCACATAGTTGCAAATGAGCCATCCCTAGCCTTGTACAGATTACAAGAACATGTTCGAAAAGCCTTACCTCCTATGGTTGAGAGAAGAGTCGAAGTTACCAAGTTGCAACATGAGCTACAGGGAAGATGTTACGATGTGGAATATGCGCTAAGGTTAGTTATCACTAGTATATCTGTATAAGTAAAAGATTTTAAAAATTAATGTTAAAAGTCATATAATTTTAAAAATTAAATTATGTATACTTCGACCGGATTTACAATTATTAAATGATACAATATTTTCTTTCAGTGCTGTGAAATCAATGGACGGTGCAGTAACAAGCTTTAAGAATATACAGGAAATGTTAAAACAATCTATATTTTTAAAACAACAATTAAAATATGAAGAAGCTAGGCGAAATAAAAAAGATACAAGTTCTGTTTACAAGCGTCTCTCTGCTCACATTGTTTTAGACCTTCCAGATCTTTCTGAATTTTCTATGATAAGAGAAACCACTAATAGGTTAGAGAATATAATGACTCATGCAAGGGGCTCTAATGCAGAACTGCACAGGTCACACACCACCTTACATTAAAAAGAAAAAAAAAGTTTATTCAAATTTACAGTATTAATAAATAAATCAATAAATTCTAAGTCATTATGTTAAAAATGAAATTTAAGTTATTTTAACAATTGAAATAATTCAAATTAAGTATAGCATTAATATCTTTAATCTATATGAGTTCAAATTAAGAACTCCAATTGAAATTTTTGAAGTAAGACATAAATCATTCTATCACTTTACAGTTGAGTATCTTCTAGTGCCATGGGTAAGCTCTATGGTATATGAGGAACTGTGTTATTATATAAAATTAGCGACTCACCCTCGCTTCACTCGGTTTCGTTCCTAGCTACGTTTTAACGGTTAGTATGGAATAGATAGACTATATATCACATGATATATAGCCTTCCTCAATAAACGGGCTATCAATTGCAAAAAGAATTTTTCAAATCGAATTAATAGTTCCTGAGATTAACATGTTCAAACAAACTCTGCCTCTTTTTAATATTAATTTATATGAAATAGAAAACACAGTAACAAACTTTTGAAAACTAGCTTTCACTATGAGATCAAATAGAATCTACATCCACTTTTGGCAAGTGGTGAGTTATAGACTTGTTTGACTAAACTAACAATTTTTACTATTTTTAAGATAAATCATAGCTTGGATGGTGGTTCATCATACTGCTAAGGCAACTTATATTTCTAGGTTGTGGGCTCTATAGCTTGAATTTGTATATAGTTATAACATGACATAACATGTTAAAAAATGTCAATTTTCTGTACTTCTGACTATACAATTAATCTACTCTTTAAAATGAAACAGAAAATGTCATGTAATCTTTTAGATGAGTAGTAATTAGTAAGCCAGTGATGATATCATACAAGATGTACCTATGTAAGTTAATTTGAACAAAAATGTTCTATATATACTTTTAAATTTAGTATTTTTAGTACTATATCACTTTAAGACCTGTTCACACTTTGCAATTTTATTAATGAAACAAGATGTTGATCACCTTAAGCTTTATTAATTGCTTTGATCCACACAGATATATATTTATAATGGAGTTGGCAGAACAATAAAGAGTTATTATAGTTGAACTTAAAATATCAAGAATAAAAAGTATGTAACTTTTCTGCTTTAACATTTTTACGTTTGCTGCCTCCGTGTTATTAATATTTATCTATGGTAAGATTGCTATCATGCTTATAACTAAAATGCTTGATAAATAAACCATTTTTTACTAACTTGATGCTTTTCTTTTGAACTAACGCCTACGCTCACATGTTTGTGTACTTTTATATGTAGTAAAAATATGTATTGTATTGATATTGTAAAAATATTTAGTAGGGGAGCCCAAGAGGGGATTTTGGGATTTACTCAAGCGCGGCAGATTAACATAATCAAATTTTATAAGTTAGATATCTAAACTTGAAACCGTCAGTTAAGGTATGGTGGGCTAATTACATCCCGAAAAGTCTGCAATTCAATAATTTGCCGATTTCCAAAAGCCGAAGAGGCAAAAATCGTAAAAGACGATTCCAAAAATCCCAAAATCCCCTCTTGGGCTCCCCCAACGCCCCCACTATTAAATGTGCACTCATTATTAATAATATATGTATATAGTAACATAATTAACAGCCAGCAATTGTTATGAAATATAAAGTAAGCTATTTGATAGTATATCAGATTACTACTCGTAGTAATACACCCAGGGTGTATTAGAAGGTAGTGTTTTACAATACATACTAACAAAACAAAACACTAAATAAATATAAATTTGTAAGCTTAAGGTTTACATATATATAATGAACATCTTACATTCAATCTCGTATTCTTTCACATTTTTTGACTACATGTCAAAATAATATTTAAAATTATTGCTAATCTGAAGCTTAAATTATTCTATTTAACAAACATGACATCCTAAAAATTTATATTTTTATTATGAGGCAACATATTACAATAAAAAAAACATGGATAAATTAAGTCATTCCTTCTTTTTAAAGTCAGTTAAAAGTTACGAAATAAGTAGGTACAATCGTATTAATCTATTTGTTAAATATGACAGACCAAGGTAATTCTTTTAGCTTTATAACATTAAACCTCTTTTCGAAAGGCAGTAGTTTTTCCAACGTTTGTTGCTTTGGATTAATCTTTGGTTTTTGAGAAAAAAGGTAGTTGTAGCAACAAGATTTTTGTGGTTCGACATATTTTCTACCGCTCTCGTGGCTTAAAATTGAATTGTAAATGTAATCTATGGGTATAGCTGATACGATGTAAGAGTCGACTTGCTTGTTTTCAGCTTTAAGTTTCTCCATTTTGTTGAAAATGCTAGCCCAGTCTAAATCTGTGTCTAATACTTGCACATTTACTAGAGCCTGCGAAGTGGATGTAAATTAAATAAAACGGAAGTTTCTATTGTGTTTTCAATAAAAGTCAGTATAGGCGCCCATTATTAACTGTTTCAAAAACTTTTATTGACAACACTAAAATGAACAGACAACACTAAACGAAAAAAATAATAGAATTAGTTGACAAACAGAGGAGAAAAACGTAGTAATTATTGTTCTATGTTATACAATTATTATATTTTATTAAAAAACTTGACATTTTTCTGATATCGAAGCAATCAGTAATCTTTGAAACAAAGTAAATATTTCTAGACTAACCCCAGAGATATCATTTAGGACAATATTCTTGAAATACGTTAAAAATATAGATTGAATGTTAATTTCATCTTTCAGATTGAGAACTACTGTGTATCCTTTTTCGCTATAGTGCTCCACAAGGTTGTCTACTTGATCAATATCATAGATGCGACCGTCCACAAGAATAGCTAAACGGTTTGTTACTGGCAGGTGACTTTCAACACTGTTGACAAAATATATACATTATTAATTATTTCCATTAAGAAGAGAATTCCAATGTGATGAGATGATGATGTTCTCCTGACCGATTCCGGCCAAGGCGGCCAATAGAGACTAGCCAACTGCGCAGGAAATATTATAGTGCTCAGGTGTACGCGCAGACACAAGTGCACTCTCTATTTCTTTCACTCTCATACTCCGGTGGGACGACCACTCGACACGACCAGTGAGAGTTAAGGCGCAGGACCGACGGCTTTACGTGCTCTCCGAGGAACGGGGGTGAAACACCGCCAACTTCCCAACTCCGGGCTGCTACTGAGGCTTACTATACAGAGAGACTCAATAACTAAACTTGGCCCGGCCCGGGACTCGAACCCAGGACATCCGGGTGTGCAGCCGTACATGCTAGCCACTTCACCACCGAGACAGTCAAATTCCAATGTAATGACCTCCGGAGTCGACGACAAATCTCACAGAGACTAGCCATCCGCGCAAGGCATATAATAAAAGTAAATAGTAAAAGCACGCGTAAACAAGTGTACTCTCTATTTCGTTCAAACATCGCCGGCTTTTCAAGTCCGGGTTGTTAGATATTGAGAAATTCTTAACACAAAAACTAACTATACTTGGTCAGATCTAAGATTAAGAAGAGTGGGTTAGCTAAGCTTCTAAGCTATTAGATAAAAAATGATTAACTAAGATGTTGCTCACAAAAACCTACTTACTACTCTTCTCATAATTTGCGCAAAAAAACCTACTACTCTTCTCATAATTTGTGTTTTTGGTACGACCATAATATTAGCAAAAATTAATAGTTACCGAGGTTCGAGTTCTGCTTGATTTTTGTATTAAATATAGCTAAAGTTCGATATCACACTATATATTAAATTAACTAAATGAAAAAATCTAATTGTATTCGCATACATTACATATAATAAGATAAATATATTTATTCGTATTAGAAATAAATTAATATGTATTGAGCATACCTGCTGGAGCTCATGATGACTGCATGACCACGTTTTCTCAAATTATACAAGATACAATACATAGCTCTTCGAACTGAGTACTTTTGGTACGCGGTACATTCTTCGAGAATCACAATAGGCGGAGCTCCGACGACGGCGGCAGCGAAATGTAATCGAGCGCGTTCATTTGCTGATAGATCGAGTATAAGAGTGCCAACTTCTTGGTGAAGTTCTGTTAAAAGTAGCAGCGAAAACATGAATTTCAAAATAAGCTTTTTTGTCACTAAAGAACTTTCTTTCCAACTTGATGAAAAAGCTTTCAATAAATGAGTGGAACACTTCTACACTTGAATATACTGGTTGGATGTATCTAGTGACTAATATATACATTAATTTTAAAGACTGAGTGAAGTTGCGCACTGATTGAATCTGACTGATAATCTTTTTAATTTTAATTACTTATTTTAGATCTAGTAATACTAATAATTCAGGCCTTTGTCGGCCCTTTTGCGGGGCACGTCTCTCCCCTCAATACGAGCAAGATTATGCTAGACTTCTATTGCCGGAGATCCAACACAAGGTATTAAGCACTAGTTCTAGAGAGAAAATAATAATAATATACTTACTTAAAAAAATATCTTTGATTTTACCTAGAGCATCGACATAATCCATGACTTCTTGATCTAAATACGTTTGAGGAACTCCTCGTAGAGTCGCTATCATTTCCAGCGCGCGGTAAACAGTCATCCATTGCGGGAGGGGATCATCGCTACAGCTAAATGTTACTTGACTCGCGTACTGAAAACATAATAATTACAAGCAGTGCCGTATGTAACCTTAGCGCCGCCCCTGGGCATAGTAAAAAATGCCTCCCTATTATCGAAATTTTGATAAAAATGTTGAAAGTTTAATTTAATTACTAATTTTTTGAAAAATGCAAAGAAATGATTTATAAATGAAATCAATTTTTCGAAAAATGTACCTACTAGTTAATCTTTTTATATTTTTCATTTTTTGTAAAATAAACAAAGCATTTTCGATAACACGAAGATTTTTTTTTTATACACACCGAATTTTGCCGCCCCTAAAAATTTGTCGCCCTGGGCACTAGCCCCGAGTGCACCTAGTGTACTTAAATCCAGCACTGGTTACAGCGAGAAAATATCTTACGTCGGGATAAAAAGTAACTTATGTTAGCACATATTTCAGACTATAATCTCTCCTGTGCCATATTTCTTCCAGATCTGTTCAGCCGTTCTGGCGTGACGTCCATCCATCCAAATTTTCGCATTTATAATATTTATGGGATTATGGGATTACTCAGCTCTCGTAATTTGTAGTTTGATGTAAGATAGCTTATAATCTTATTCAATAAATATCCTACAAAATGTTAACAGAATTTTTCAAGTCCAGTAGATCCAGAGATTAGCCTGTTCAAACAAATAAACTCTTCAGGCTTTAAATATTAGAATAGGATTATATATGTATATAATACATAGATTATGTAGGAGATCGCCTAGACTAGAGATGTGTAGCATATTTTTGGTGTCGACCTTTTGCTATGAAATTAATGAATGTACATTTTATTTAGATTGCTCCTCGCAATAAATAATATATATACATACATACTCGTGTATATATATATATATTTAAATCAAAAAATATTATTATTTCTTTTTTTAAACGAGTAACTATTACATAGGTATGTTAGCGGATAAAATATGTAATGTACCTATGTTCTTTTACTATAGTATAATTTAATCTAGTTTTCCTATGAATAATAGACGCCTCATTTATAATCTTCTAAACTTTAAACATGTTTGGATAATGATATTTTTTTCAAAGTAATAATTGTTTATTATAAATGTACCTTATGAGGATTTCTATTTAGTGTCCATTTCGATACGCACCACAGGTCTCCTTCACTCGGTAATATATAACCTGTGACGATATTAGGATAATTTTTCAGTTCACATAATACTTCTAAGGTGAACAGTTTTTATATTATTTTACCTGAAACAAGTCATAAATAAATACAATTACCATTTGAACATTTAATGAATGATACCCTTTTCTGTTATAAAAAACATGTTCTTCATCATTGGGCTTAACTAAAGCCACATGGGTGCAATCTATGCACCCGATTACACCAGGCAGACCAAATCTACTCTGAAACCTAAAACAATAAGTTATATTATTAAATGCATTACATGTACCTAAGAGTAAAATTGTAAATATATAATATGATACATACTCTTGTTTTACATGTCCTCTGTCTTGCCTTGTTTTCGGAAACACAATCCATTTTGCCATAATAGCGGGGTGGTTCAAAGCATCGACTACTTGTCGGATGCAGCGACTAGTTGTGCGTTGAGGAAGATTGTGAGTAATACCAACAATTCGTTGATAGGACCCTGTAGCCAGGAAACTAACTGCGCACAACACCTATAAAAGACAGCCAAAAAGAAATAAATAATAGTGATTGTTAGGGTTGTGTAGGCTTCGATAACTAAATGGACTGTTTGCTGGTATATATGTATTGTTTAACATTGAATTAAAATATCACATTTTTTGTACATTTAACAAAAGTCTTATGCAAGTTACACCATGCGTGCGTGTGTTCATGAACTCATGTAATGAAACAAAATAAATGGTAGGCTAGGCACATTTATTCTTGTACTTAAAACAGCAGAATTACATATTTGGCATATCTTACCTTAACTTCTAGTGGAATCTCATTGGATCCTTTTAAAGAAGTTTTCCGTCGTAGGTCTTGAACGAGGGCTTCGAAAGTCACTTTGCTTAACCGAAATCGTTGTATAAACAAAGTGCCCGACATTTCATGTATTGTTTCGATATACTGACGATATAAATCTCTTTGCCGGCGTTTTAACCACACTTCTTCGTTATGACCGGACCGCAACATATTTAAGGTATACATTTTATACATTTTAAATGCTAAAAAGAAAATATAAATAGTCTAAAATCAACGCGAATTAACAAAACACTTCTGTCTTATAGCAGCTGTGAGCTGATTCTAAACTTTAAAGTTATAGACGCCACTTTTTTAGCGTTAACTCAAGGGTCTCGCCGTTCGTTTAGATAGCGTTAAAGAACTTAGATTTGAATTCTCAAGCGCTTGTCAAACGTGCAACTTGGCTACCATTTTGTATGAGATCTTGTGATCCACATTGTAGAATCGCTCAGTTCGTTTCTATTTTTAGAACGAACTATGTACCTTGTAAACTTGGCTACGAATTTTCAATTCGATCGTTTTGACCACGTGACATATCGTTCAAAATACGTAATGCCCATACATTTCATTAGTTTTCTAAATCGTTAACGATTGTAGATAGTCATCATGGCTAAGCCCCCAGGTTACAGGAAAAGTTTAAAACAAGTTTCTTTTAATTGTTTATAGGCGTAATATTTCCAAATGAATTTACTGATAAAATAATTACTATTATTGCAGAAATCTTTTAAATAGAGATAATAGATTTTAAGCTACACAATCAATTATTACGTCATACTTACCGGCTAAAATCTGACATAATCTGAGCCTGCCATGTTCTAAAAGGCCTGAAATCGCCAGAGCCTCTCCTTTACCTAACCCCAAGTAGATGTTATGAATAAAGTTCTTTCCAAATCGTCTTTGCGATACGTTACACGCGAGAAGACGCTCGCCGAAAGTGTCTATTTTATTTTCTACAAAATTGACATTTTATGTTATATTAAGTTATAGATTTTATATCATATGTACCTACTTACATATATATGTTAGGACATTAACACACAGCACCATCTAGTTCCATGGTAAGCTACGAGGCTTGTATTATGGATACCAGATAGTTGATACACTATACATATTATATAACTTTGAATACATACATATTATAAATATAAGCACCCATGACTGGAGTACAAACATTCGTGATCATCACAAAAGTGAATGCCCCCAGTAGGACTCGAACCGGCGACCGCTGGCACAGCAAGTAGCGTCACTACAAACTGAGTCAAACGTGTCATCAAAATTAACAGATTCTGGTATATATTAACAGATTGTTCAAAATCTGGTCCAGTAGTCGATTGTGTGGTTTAAGGATATTTTTATATGGTACCTACTTGTAAAGTTTTTGTCCGTGCTATTCATTAAAATTTGTCTGGTACTCCTTTAGAAATGAAAATAGTGTTGATATTTAAAAATCTAGACTCTAAAATAGGGCAAAAAATAGTATATAACGTAGCGGATAGGGATAGATGTTGTTCCTTGTCCCAACCCATCTTAGCGATACCTATAGCATGTTGTAATACACTATTTACAAAACACAAATAAGCTAAAAATAAAAATTAAATTATCTAACTTTGATTTTTCTTTAGATTCATATGTTTATGCAATGCGTCTTCCATTTCTTGCCTGACTCCTTCGCCGTCTGCCTCGTGCGAGAGTTTGTTTGGATAGATCCATTTGGACATCACGAATTTCCAAGACCTTTGTATGTATTTGTACTCCCACAGTAACAGTATTACCGAGTAAACCATTGCAGTACACAATGTAGCAATTATTTCCATAAGTACACCACTGTTCTCAGATAAGTAAAACTTTCGAGAGAAGCATTGTTGTAGAACACCACATTTAGCTGTTATTAAAACAATATGTTTTTAATTCTCATATGTAATTAAATTTATCATCCTACTTTAAGGGTTTTCTTGGGACTTAGATAATAGCATATCTTCTGACCGATTTTGATCACGGGAATCTATTTCACTTCCGGGCTCTTACTGAGAGTTTCTCAATAGAAAAACCCAATAACTATAGGTACGCATAAAATATTATATAGAAACATCAACATAAACAATAAAATAGCTGTTTCCCGTTTTTTTTTATTTTAGCTGTTTATAGTTTAATTGTTCATGTACATATGTATATATTTTTTAAGTATGTAATAGAATAAGTCTATTTTTTGTTACAATACTATATATAATAGCGGAGGTAATTTCTTCTTAATAGAAAGAAAACCTCAAAGAAAATAATTAATTTAAGGAGATTTTAAATTCAGGGTAACTTTGTAGTTAAGTTTTTATTATCTTCACACTATCTAACTATGATTTTATTAAAAATGTCAGTATAAGCATTTAGTGCATATAACATTCGATTGACGCAGGATTGAACCTGCATTCTTTAACGAAGATAGCAGTGGTAGGTAGGTTACCTACACTGTTCGTTAATCATAATTTTACAATATAAAAGATACTCACGACAGCATTTATGCAAAGTTTTGGAGGAACAAAGGTTTTTCCGATGGAAAACTATACATTCGCTATTATAAAGAAAAATCTTCTTGATCTTAACGAAAGCATAAGCCATGTTGAATTGAGGAGACAAGGACATGAAGTTGAGAGCATAGCTCAATGCGTTGCCATACAGTAGTTTTGCTATGACTGTAGTTTCACCTAAAAATGATACTTATATGAAAATCATATCAAACTAAAACTTTCTTTTTAAAAAGCTAAAGAATGAGTAAATTTTTTTACATATGAAGTAAATTACGAGTATGATTAGTAATAAAAGCTTACCAAATACTATGTTAAATATAACAAAAGTCATCATATTGAGTGCAACGCGTGATCCTAGACTGAATAGATATGCTTGTGGGATGCAGCCTATTCCATACACTGTTAATATTATCGGGATAACTACTGAAAAATATAAATAACGTGTTATAAGTATATTAATATAAAATTAGGAGCCTCGCGCACTGGGCAGCCTGGCTGCCGCGGCCATTCCAGCAGATGGCGGCGTATGGGAGTTTTCATAAAATGGCTTTGAATTGAATCACAACTAGCAATCGATTGGCTTCTATTACTGGTTGCTAAATATTTAGTAATAGTAATAATATAAACTATTAATTAATTATATAAATATAAAATTTTAGGATAGACCTAAATCTCCACAGTCTACTAATCTATACAGTCGTCTAACGAAGGAGTTTGGACAGGACAATCATACGGGGCCTGTGAGAGGAGACGCGGGGAAGAAAACCCGACTGTCATATTTAATTTTATATGACAGTTGGGAAGCAGTAGTTTTTATTCAGTCATTTTTCCCCTGCTGGGCACGGGCCTCCTTTCAATAAGGAAGGATCAGGCCATAGTCCACTACCATGCCCAAGTGCGGACTTCACATGTTTTGAAAACTTGATAGGTTCTCTCCGACATGCAGATTTCCTCACGATATTTTCCATCACCGTAAGACAAGTGGTAATTATGTTGGAAACGTTACACACATGAAAATATCGGAGATTCGAGAGCCGGGATTGGAACCTGACTCTCCTGATTCACTCGGTTTTCTACCAACGAGCGCTTTACCACTAAGCTATCACTGCTTTATAGCAGTAGTAAAATTTCAGTAAATGGCTAATTATTGAATATAATAATTTATTTCCCAAACTAACCCAAATCGCTGTAATAGAAAGTCATAGGCGCTACCAGCACCATTATCACAAGCATTGCGGCGGACATAAGCGCTACTAAGATGCAATATAGTATAAAATCGCATAGGAATAAATTAAACCAATAGCGTGCTGGAGAGAAATCCATTGCATGAGTCTATAAATTATAAAAAAAAGAATATATTAAGTTTTTTTTTTAATAATTTTCTGTTTATTTAATCAATCTATATAATATTTTATTATGTTGGCGCTAACCGAATAAGAAATAAACAAACTCATCAATTACTAAAAATAAAGTACAAACTCTTAAGTCATTGTTACCGATGCAAGAATTTCAATTGCATTTCAATTATAATGGTCGGATTAACATCATGTTGAAACATCTGGAAGAATTTGGATGATAAGTACACATTTTATATTGTTATCTCCTGGAGCCAGAATTGTAGGGAAGCATACCTCTCTTCTATATGGTCGGTTACTATGACTATTAATGATCCTTACCTGCATGTGCCTTACAAATCCACTTTCCTTAGAAGGTATTAGAGTAATATGTGATATTGTAAGAATAAGTAAAAACTGAATAAATATTGGCGGTGCTGAGGCAGTCTTCAACCACTGTAAAGAGAGGTAGATAGCTTCAAACTTATAAAAATATATGATATCTTGCTATTATAAATAACATCTAGAAGCTTTTATCATAATATGAATTAGATAAAGACTAACAAAAATTGGCATCATCAAGAAAATAGAAGTACTTATATGAAACATAAAGGTCTTTAACACATCAAGGTAAATTTCTAAGAAATCAATTAAATTTCTAAGAAACCTATTGTTAACTGTAACGCCGGCGAGTCCGCGGTCGTGGAGGGATTAATAAATTTAAAAGAAAAGTAAATAATTTAATTTAAAGTTTCTAACGGTGGTTAGGTCCAATGCAAGCGGATCATCCGTCACTTGAATGGATGAATCCAACAGCAAGGAGTAGTGCCGCATCAATGCCATGAATGCTCGTGCTAAAGATCTCGCCGCCGCCCCGCGGTCGACGTGCAGGGGACTGTAGAGCACTTGTAGCTAATATGTGACAGTATTGATTTTTTATTAATTCTTAAGTATTGCCTAATTTGCTGCTTCATTGCTAGTATATATTTAGCTTATAGTTACTGGGTTATTCAGTAACGAAATGCTCAGCAGCAGCCAGTGGGGAAGTTGGTGGTGCTTACCCGTGCCTCGATAAGCAAGTTTAAGTATCGATACTGAGTTTTATCTCTGAACAGTAGTTTCAAGTTTTCGTTTCACCGAATGTGAGAGTTAAACAGATAGAGAGTGCACGTTGTGTCTGTGCACAAACACGTGCTGCAATGTAGTAAATTATGTTTCACATAGTTGGCTAACTTGGGAGATTTGGCCGCCTTAACCGAAATCAGTTAGAAGAGCATTATTATGAATACTAGCAGCTTTAATTCAACTAATGACTGATTCCCGATTAAATATTTAATATTTGATTAAAATAACTATAGCTAAGTGCTTAATATAAAATATGGCTAGTAAAAAACAAAAAAAATAAATAAATAAAAAGTAGATACACAGTAAGCTTACATTGACCGTATTATTTTTCATAGAAATGTCCAGTCCGTAAGCAAACATGAAAACGTATTGCTGGGGTGAATCGATGGCGCGAGTTACGAGGTATTCAGTCAAACTCTACAAAGAAAATAAAGCGTACATTCACAATGTTATTTAAGAAACTCGTTATTTTCATATTTATATTACTTCTAGCAGAACCTGCGAATTTGCTCGCGTTAAAGCTATAAAAAAATCTAAAAAGGTATGTTTCATACAAACTTTCATCCACTATTTTACTCTTTCATGGGATAAATTTAGAAAAATGCTAAAACCCGTATTTATTTAATTGTATTGAAGACAATTAATACCAAGTTTCAAGTAATTTTGATCATAAATATTTGTTGGGTTGTATTATAACGTGTTTTCCCGTGGCGGTGAGAATGAGATAATTTCCCGCGGTAAAAAGTAATCTATATTACTCTCCAGACCTCCAACTATCTCCACACAAAAAACCACACCAATCATTACTCTGTTTCGAGGTGAAAGAAGGACAAACAAACAAACACACTCACATTTATAATATTATTATGGATTCTTTATGGCACTCAATCGATATACAAAAATTAAACAAAAACATGCAATAAAATTAATTAGCAAAGGTGGTTATATAGTAGTGGTCATTAAATGGGAATTTGTAGGTTCGATTCTCGTTTGATGTAAATAAACAGTTAGGTCAACATATGAGTGAAGTAAGAGACTGAAGTTTCTAGAATCTGTAACCTTTATAATGCGTTATTTTATTAAAAGTCTATCGTAGATTAGTGCTGTTATGGTTTTTGAATAATAATAACACGTAGTACCTACCTCCGGATATAACAGTGCTGTATATTGTATATTACCAACTTCCTTCTCAGTTGCGTTTCTTTCAGAAAAAACATAACTAAAATCCATACAAAATAATCCAAGTAAAATAACAATTAAAAATAAAAAATATATTACATATCGCATTGTTTGGCACCAAAAATAAAAAGCAAAATTATATGTATGACTTTTTAATATTTTTAAAGGATTACTTACGCATTGGCTATCGATCTGGCGGCACTGGAATTATCACATCGCAATATTAAATTTGTTTTTTGTTCTAAAGCCTCCACAGTTAATAACTAAAAAAGAATAATCAAGAGAAAACATACAATTATTACAATATGTAAAGAGGCATAGTAATTAAATTAAATAATACGTGTATACTAGGAGGACCCGCGGCTTCGCCCACGTTTAAACTACTAAAAACACAAACTCTTTGACACACCGACAGTAGCGTCACCTACCGGGTCCAATTGTGTTTTCAAACCATCCAGGAGCCCATTGAAATATATACACACAATATTTCATACAAATCGGTCCAGCCCTTTAGGAGGAGTAATGTGACAAACACACGTACAGAAGATTTATATATATTACTAGCGGACCCGACAGACGTTGTCCTGTCTACACGTCTTTAATTTGAAAATTTCAAACTTTTTTTAATAATTTTTTTGATGAAAATTATTATTCAAATTGTGAATCTAAACCATTCCCAGATCCCCTTGAACAGACACAAAAAAATTCATCAAAATCGGTCCAGTCGTTTGAGAGAAGTTCAGTGACATACACACTCACAGAAGAATTATATATATAAAGATAAGATAGGTAACCGTATACAAAAACAATACCTCGCCATGGAAAATTGTCTTTGTATTTCTATCTATCTCCATCTCACCCAATACCGTAGCCAAAGAAAGACCAATGAAAATCCCAGTTACTAAAGCTGAAATTATCTGTAATATAATCAATTTAATGTAGATTTAGGATTTTTATATACTATATGTTATATATTTTCAATTTCTACTAACGAATCTTAAATATAGTAAAACTTTTTGTACGGAAATACGAATTAAGCAACAGATATAATGATACCATATTATATAATACGAGAGGTGAGAGTGTGGTAATTTGCCGGTTTTTTATACCGTATTATCAATTACAGCGATGTCATGTAAGTGTCTGCGGTGGACATTAAAGTGAAGTGAAAAGAAAATTATTTTTTCTTAGCTTAGGGGTAGAAAAATGTGAGTAGAAAATGACTATATTCGTCAATTCTTAAATGTTTTCAAAGATGATCGCGCGAAAAAAATTTTCGTTGAAACCAAAAATTTAAATTTATTATTTATTTTAAAAATCAGTGGGCCACCTCAAAATCTTCAGTAAAATGTTTTTTTTTTCAAAACTTTTGTTTTTTTATCAGTTTCAAACTCTATAATTTTATTTATTGATTAAAAAGTATATAGATATAGAATAACTTTGTACCTATAATTTTAGTAGAGAATAAAGGTGGGCGTCTCATGAAAACCACCTATTCACGAGATAAATTCTCGCTTGATAGATAGTAAATATTTAAATAAAAAATTAAATTATAAAATAAAACAGTGTTAAAAACCAACTAAAAACATGAAAAAAATGACAAAGGCACATAGTATTATGTTTTATACTTGCTGCGAGTCTTGCTATAGATGTTACTTCAGGGGTAGGTAATATAAATAAGTAAAAAAAAACACCAGGTTTTTTACCGGTTGTGAAAATTAATTTTGAGTGATATTGACGTCTTTGCACTTATTTTAGTTAAATACCGTATTTCGTAACCTATTACACAGATCTATTCCTTACCGTTATTATAAGACTAAATCTGTAGTGGAAGTAAAAGGAGAGAAATTTCCAACCAATATATTTTAAATGAGTTAAATTGCTACAGAAACTGATGTGTCGCTTCCATTTAACTGGTTCTGAAATATAAATAATAAATAAGTCTCAGATACTTCATATTCAATCAAATAAAAATTCATGATTTACCCTCGCTTTGCCCGTGTACATAGTACATGTGTACATACATAGGTGCCAAAATTTGTTACTAAGCTATGTATTACTCTATCTGTGTACTAAATAAAAAATCACAGTCTATCTGTGTACTAAATTTCATGTAAATCTATTCAGCAATTTCAGCTTAAAGAAGTAACAAATATGTACACACTCACACACATACAAACTTTCGCATTTGTAATAGTACTAGCGACTCACCCTCGCGCCGCTCGAGTTTGCCCCTACTTAGGTTTTAACGTTTAGTATAGATTTCTCATATATGAGATATTTTCTCTCATAGATGATATATGTATTATTAGTAAAAAGTATCTTATGTGTTCACCCGGATAACCAGCTATCATCATACCAAATTTCATAAAATTTTCGGGATTCGGCCAATGTCTATTTCAATAAGATTTTCCAAAAAATATTTAATGTACAGATTCGGCTTAATTACAATTTTATTATATGTATAGATTAGTAGACCGGTATAAGTTAGGGTATGATTTTTTATTATTGTTACATACATACATACATACATACATACATACATACATACATACATACATACATACATACATACATACATACATACATACATACATACATACATACATACAGACATACATACATACATATATTTATGTACACACCTGAAAGATTGTTCAAGGCATTTCTCGTAATCTCATGTTCCTCAATCGTCCCGTGTATTGACGCTCTCGATTCATATATGACTCTAAACAATTTTACGTGTTTAGTAACACTTTTATATACAGTATATATTATCGCTTCGCTCGGGTTCGTCCCTAGGTTCGTTCCCCATACAAACTTTTATTCCCCTTTTCACCCCCTTAAGGGATGATTTTCGGGATAAAAAGTATTCTATATCCTTCCCAGGGTCTCAAACTATCTTCATACCCATCTAAATTGGTTCAGTAGATCCAGAGATTACCCCCTACAACCTCACAAACTCACAAACTATACCTCTTTATAATATTAGTATAGACAAAAATGTTTATATACAAAGACAATAAATGCTTATTAGTTGTATCACAGATCACATAATTTTTACTATACTGGCTAGCTAGTAGTTGTATTTAAGTAAATCTTACCTATTGCATACCTCTTCGGTGTCTGGTATACTAATATTCATAGATATAATACCGTATTTTCTAGAATTCTCTGTAAGTTCCTTCACCAGCTCTGCGACTTTGGCAGTGGGGTTTGCTGGTAGTCGTAATATGAGTAAAGAACCTAAATGGGCTCTAATCGTCGCTCCCGCCTCAGAAGTTCTGCGCAACATTTCATTTACATTCAATTCATTAGATTGGCTTCCGCTTCTGAATGTAACACGGACTCTGTAATCTCGACCTACAAAATATTACAAGGTAAGAAGCAGGAAGTCTGTGAAGAAGAGAGAGATAAACCGAGTGAGAAAGAGAAAGAAAGACAAAAATGGAGAGATAGGAGGATTATATAATTCAATTTTTATTTGTTTCTAGATCCATGATCATACAACCATATATAAAATTAACACGTCGTATTATAGAAAATGATTTGCATTATGAGAAAAAAAATGTAATTGCAAAGTATAAAGATTACTAAAAGTAATTCAAATAGTAGAACAATTTTATATATGTACGAGTACTACCGACTCACACTCGCTCCTCAATCAATCTATCCAAATTTCATTCAGATCCCTTCAGCCATTCTGTTGTGATTGAGTAACAAACATCCGTCCATACAAATTTATAATATTAATGGGATTTTTGGATACCATTTATTATATATGAAAATAATTTTACCATATTTGGAAAACATAAAAGCCGGAGTGCCGCCAAAAACAAGTATCTTATTGTCGAAAATGAACACTCGGTCCGCGTATTCCAGCGAAATACTTGTGAAGCACAATTTAACAATAGTTATATACTTTTTATATAGCTAGAATTTGAAATAAATTATTATTAGAAAAAAGATATTAAGTATACTCTTTAATTTCTCTCTTGGGTTTTGGGCACAGCAGACTTATTAGGACATCTTATTTTATTGAGACAAACATACCAATCCTAACAAAACGTTTATGATTAAAATTTATGATCAAATTAAAGCATTACACCAAGGAATGGAAAGAATTCGTCATATCAATAACGTTCTTACTATTATTTTGTCCCTTATAACTGCTGTGTATACAGAATCTGACGTAAATGAAGGTATGATGATGATCTGTAAATAATAAAAACTTACAAAAAGATCGATTTCCAGACAATAAAAATTTAAAAATAACTAATCCGCTGTTTTCATTTAGAATAGATACCTAATCAGATATTTTCGAAGTCTGTGCCAGCTGATACAAATTAAAGCATATCACTACTAAATAAAAAACCGTATTCCCGTTTAGTTATTTTTAACGGACTTCCAAAAAGTTGAAAATATTTCTAGATAATTCAAACAACATTAGAATAAATTGTAAGAAAATGATTTTTTACTTACTCTAGGCTCTATTAACATGGCGATTGCCCAACAAAGCTGTGCTTTGTAGTAAATGCCCAAGTTTCGTATATACTCATGTCTTACACCTTCCAAGTCACATTCAGGCAGGAGTCGTGTCAAACGAATATGAGTGTACTCCGTGACGTAATCAGAGGATTCGTTCCATAAACAAATCTGTAAAGTTTATATACATATATGTAGGTAATTATGGCGATAATTTTTGTTTAATGAAATCATGATGTAAAACAGCTCTTTTATCTACATTCAAACTCAGTTGTGACCATTTTTGGTGGTGACCAGACTGAAATACACGTGAGTGCATAACTACTGAGGAGGTTATATGTATATGCAAAATAATATATTCCCTCAACGACTGTGGGCACACCGGTGTTACAGTTAACAATGAATTTCTTAGAAATTTAATTAATTTCTTAGAAATTTACCTGGAAGAGATATCAGTACTATAATTGGTATGTTATTTATCCAGAGATATTTTGTGTATTAATGAAGGCTTCCATTCCATAAGAAGCAATAGGTATAGCAATTTACAAATACATAGGACGAAAAGGAACTAACAAAACAGTAAACTGTAAGAATTTCTTGCACGGTAAGGTCGTCTATGAGGCAGCCGTTGCGGTGACAGTAGCCAAGCATATACGGTATCGACATAAAACTGACCCCTGGCTCTATTTCCCGTCCTAATACATTTAAAGATCCTTCATCAGGATATGTTAGACCTATAAAATAACGTAAAACAAAAATATAAAATATTATAAAGAAGAAAGATTTGTATTTTTGTATGTTTGTAACGAATAAAACTACTGTACCGATTTAGATGTAATTTCGTAAGAAGATAGTTTGAAATCTTGGGAAGGACATAGAATATTTTATTTTTATCCGGAATAATCATCCCTTAGGGGGGTAAAAATGGGAATCAAAGTTTGTATGGGGAATTAGCCTAATGACGAACTCGAGCGAAACGAGGGTGAGTCACTAGTCATATATAACTACATATAATTGCACATAAGCATTTCTATGTACTATGTAGTTATTAAAATCTAGTGACACATCATTGCTTTGCTCGGACAATGCTAACTTTGCAAGGTCTGATGCCTTTTATTATACTATTTACTATGGACATTAAGATTCAATAACTAAACTTGGACATTATATTATACTATTTACTAGGTACATTTTTCCGGGGTAAAAAGTATAATCGTATATAGGACAATAAGTAGCCTATTTACTGTTCCAGACTACGAGTTTATTCTATCTCTGTGCCAAATTTCATTTAGAACCGTTCAGCCGTTCTGGCGTGATCGAGTAACAAACATCCATCCATTCAAACTTTCGCATTTATATAGTAGTAAGATAATTGGATAGTAAGATTCCACTGTAATCATTTCATATTCCGAAATAAAAGTAATAAACTATCTCTAAAGCTGTTAAAATTTTGCTCTACATATTTTACTTCTACGTACATATTGCTACTGTACTTGTATTCGCGAATTACAAAAACTGTAAAGTTTCAAGGTCTTTCTTAAAACTTGTTTATAAAGGATGGATGGTTGTTAAAATCAATTTATTCTTATTTGAAATGATATATAGAACCTTTGTGGAAATGCGACGTAAAATAAAACTGGTACATATGGATGGATTACAAGTCTGAAATATAAGTAATATGGCGTTAGGTTAATAAATATTCATAATTAGTTAATTTTTAATGATTTACATGGCCCATGGGTTTAAATAATACACCGATTGTAATATATATTTTATACTACATATATATTACATTATAATTTTTTTTAAGAATTTCCCTTTTAAAATTACCGCCTATAATTCTCTATCTATATAAATTTACCATTTTCACACTAAAAAAATTAAACTGACCACAAATAACTAACATCAGATTCCATAGACAAATATCTAGTAGTCGAAGTATCTAGTAAAGTACTTTGGTGCCATTTTTAAATTTTTTGAATTTCTTTTGTTATATTGTGGGTAGGCTGTCTGTAACAACTATATAATACTTTTGAGACATCTAAAACCTTTGTCTCTCCCTAACCATGATTGCTGTAAAGTATTCGAAATGTCGGGAATCAAAAATCAAAATGAACCCGTGAAAAAATCCGAAAAAAAGTTTTACTTAAAAAGATTCAAATTTTTACCTGTCAACAGATCTTCTATCGTAGTAAGCATCTTAGCCTGAATATGCTCATAATATAACATTGTAAATTCACATCGATATACGTCCAAAGTTATACTCTTTAGAATTGTACCGCCCATTATGCTCTGAAATATACAAACTAATTAAAATGAAATGTATTTTGGAGAGACTCTTTCGTGACCATGATGAATAAAAAAAAATTAAAATAAATCCAAGAATAAAAATAGATTTTTTATTTAAAATGTCAAATATTAGCGTAAATCTAAATATTAGCGAATTTATATTTATTGATGGTCATTTAGTGACGTTTCGTGCTTACACATGTCCAACAACATAATTATACCATGGAATTAAGATCTTAAATTAAAATATAATAGCTCAGTTATTTTATGTCTTTTCTTCATATGTGTAGATTTTTGAAATGACAAATAAGTTTAAATTCGAAATATTAAACTACTAGCGTTTTCCTCCGGCTCTGCCCGTATAGTACATTAATCACCAACACATCATATACTAAAACCTTCTCCGAAACACGCTGCATCTTATGGTATGAGTATTATTCCGATCGGTTCAGTAGTTACCGCAGTATAACCGAACAAAAAATCGGCTCTCTATTTATTAATATAGATTTCAAACATAATATTATATATTTATTTATATATATATATATATATATATAGAACCAAAATTAAACTGTAGCGATGTGTATATAAATATTGTAATATACCAATATAATATAAATCATATAATATGTATTAATTTTAATAAAACTTTAATTTACCTTTGTCACATTTCTCATACTAATAGCTTTAGCGACTAACTCGTCCACTTCTTGTAACTTTCCTCGTTCTCTAGCTGTAGGCGGTTCTATTTGATACAATTGGTTTTTATTCTAAAAAAATAGAACAATGAATACATAAGGCTTTCGAATTTAGAATCTTATAATTTGACAACTATTGACAATAATAAAAAAGTCATTTCGTAATATCTATCTCATTCTCAAAGACCTATCCAAAGATATAGCTCTGTGCACAAGCTTATTTATAAGCATTTTTTTCACTTATCATTACTGTATGGCTTAGTTTGTAGTGACCCTACTTGCTGTGCTACCGGTCGCGGGTTGAGTCCCACTGGGGGCATTCATTTGTGTGATGAGCACGAATGTTTGTACTCTAGTCATGAGTGTTTAAAGTTAAATATGTGTAGTGTATCAACTATCTGGTATCCATAACACAAGCCTCGTAGCTTACCATGGAACTAGATGGTGCTCTGTGTGGATGTCCCAATATATTTATTATTATTATTATGTATGGAATTTTTTTTTAATTTAAAATGTACATAAAAAAAGATATCAAAAAAATGTACAAAAATGAGGATTCCCGATACATTGAGTCCGAAACAAGTGTAGTGTCTTTTCTATAATAAATAATTTATAGAAAAAATATACGGAAAAATTTGAGATACCCTTATTTTTTCCAAAGAACTAACTCCTTTGAAACATACGATGTTAAACAATAAGACTTTGCTTATTCATTTCTTGCCGGAACTAAGTGATATACTTATATGAAGAATATTAATTTAGATGGAAGATATCGAAACTACCAATTTATTTGTTTAGTTATTCATATTTCCCACACTTACAAGCTACATGCTGTATTGTTCAGTGTGGGATATCAACTATTCTATTGTGCAAATATTAACCTCGGCTTTCTTAAAAATAATAGATTTCCAAGAAACTTGGCCTCCGATGGTGCGTTGTTTGACTGTTCTTTGTAAGAGCATCAAAAATCCGAAATATAATAGGATCATCAATAGCCACGAGACAATAGTAAACACTAAGGAATTCCCCTGCCAACGACCTTCCTCTGCAATAGGAGACAGACTCTTTAATTATACGCCCAAAAAGATGGCAATTATGTACTCAGAAGAAGCATGATCTTTCCTAGTAAATATTATTTAATTTTCATTTTAAAATTATATTTTTCATTAGATCCTTTTAAGAAATTGTTGCTGTATAATATACTCATTAATTTGTTAAATTATTCGAGATCACTACAAAATAGGGAATTCAAAACGTATTTTTGGGTGTGCATGACGAGACGTATTAAGATTATGAACTGCTCAGTAAAATTTATCCCACTGCAATCTTTTAAATATTTCTCAAGTTTTTAAATCTATACATATACCTAATAAAATTGTAACTGAGCCGAATCTGTAAATTAAATATTTTTTGGAAAATATTATTGAAATAAACATTATTATCGATACAGAGGCCGAATCTATGTTTTTAGAATTTCAGTCTGTCTGTCTGTCTATTACCGCATCACAGAAAAACCACTGGAAAGATTTTTATGAAATTTGGTATGGTGATAGCTGGTTATCCGGGTCAACATATAGGATACTTTTTACCGCGGGAAAATGTCTCATTTCTGAGAAAAAATACAAAAACTGTAATGCAAGAGTATACTAATATGTAAAACCTAAGAATTTGCTTTTTGGTCATCTGAACTTGGGGGGAGCCGCGGGCAATGCTAGTATAAACATATTTTGTTTCACATCTATAACTATCGGATATTTAAGTTAAAAAAAACATATATTAAAATATATTTGCTCGTGGGATATGTATTAATCTCATTACATTTTAATTGTATTACATATTATGTAAATTAATTTCAAAGTACTAACGCCCAGTTTGTAGTAAAGCAAATTCATTGAGTCCATGCATGAGTCCCAATGGTGGGATGATAAGGTGTAAGAAGAAAGTGATCACGTCATGGGTTAGGTCGATCTGATGATGAACTATTAGTTCCGCCAGAAACGTTTGAAGCAACGTGAATAGAGTGGACCAGACACACGCAATCCACGCTGAAAATGTTGTTATAAAAATTTAGAACTTTATCTCTCTGTATATTTAAATTGAACTCTATATTTTATAAATTTACATCTTTTTGCGTTATTCTTTTGACAAGCGACTTACTCTCACCATGCTCAGGTGCGTCACTAGGGCAAAAAGCACATATGCCAATTTGTATCTATTTATAATATTATATACAAATAGCGCCACCTTTTGGCACATTTTTTTACTAAGAGCTGCCTATATTTGGTAAATCTCATCCAAATCCGTCCAGCTATTTCGACGTAAAGGAATAAGAAACATACAAACTCTTATATTTGAAATAGTAGTTCGATATTTAAAAATCAACAGTTAAAAATCATCTTACGTTCATTATGAAACATCGCCATGATCAGAGCGAGCATGATCATGACGGAAACGTACGCTAGCACGAGGATCAAGGCGAAGAGAAGGTGGATCCAGCGGAAGATTAGAATCAGAGTAATGCTAGCCAGCAGGCAGGTGGGTAAAGCAGTCAAATACGCGTATATAAGCCAGCCAGTGTACATTGAAGAATAATCCACGCCGCGTATACAAAGCGATCGCTAAAAGCAAAATAAATATATTTATTTTAGATTTTACGACTAGATCTTCTGAATTAAAAAAAAACAATACCTATTATAAAGCTGAAGAGATTCAATTTTCAATCTGTCCAACTATCGATTACATTTATAAAATTCTAACAAGTACAACCCTCAGAAGCAAAACAATTGCACAAAGAAGCGAACTAAAAAGATGAGAACAAGTTGACAAAGGAACATACTCGTATGCACTCATATGCACTCATATGCAATCGTTGTTACAGTCATTGTATTTAAAAAATAATAATGTACAGATATTGTTAACTTACTATTTTATTATATGTATAGATTTATAGCTTGCCTTAGTTTAAGTCTTACTTTAAATCTGCTTATCGTTTCCGAAACTACCAGAGACTCAGTCTCCAATACAGGCGGAAGCAACGCCAGTGTGAAGCACATTAGTATGGCAGATATCACTCTTCTGACGCGTTCCTGTTGCATCAACGGCGATATGGGCATCGAGGCCAAGCTCAACTGATAACAGAAAACATCTTTAAAATAGATTAAAAATATAAGAAATGAAATTTAAGTTCCAACATTTTTATTCAGCATTAAAAATATGATTAGGTACAATTTTTTGATTTTACTGTAAGCCATGAGTCTACCTCTAGTTAGAGAAAAAAACCCAAGTCCTGAGAATAACTGATTAAAGATACTTTGAGCGGGACTAAAATTATATTTTTAGAATTAAAATATATGTAATTCGAATTATTATGATTTCTTAAAAAGTTTATATGGATGTTTGCATGTTTGTTACTTAATGACGCCAAAACGGCTGAACGAATCTGGAAGATATTTGGCACAAAGATAGATTATAGTCCCCGTGGACTACTAAATGCACAATTCCTGTGGAATATTTGTTTCTGTTTTTTTTTGTTTCTAGTTATTCATAAGCTCATAACCTTTTGAAATGTCACAATATGCCCGAAACATTCAAATCAAAATATTAATATTAATTTCTATGGATGCTATCTTATTAAGTTATATGGATCTATAATATTCTTTGCACAAATACATAAATAATTGTATAAATATAATAAGTCATATAATATAGATAAGATATACAATTTTGTCACTCTATATATAGCCGAAATAGCTCAGTTGGGAGAGCGTTAGACTGAAGATCTAAAGGTCCCTGGTTCAATCCCTGGTTTCGGCAATTAAATTTTTTGTTATAAGTATTGTTTTCATTTAATAATATTGTATTATACGTATACTCTACTGTACTAACGCAGTCTTCTTAGTTCTAATCCATATAGTCGTCTAACAAAGGCCATCTACACAGGGCAAACATGCAGGTGTGCGATGTGAGTCGCGAAGGACGTTATCGAATGCCTTGCTTACTTTATGTATGACATTTGGGAAGTGGCTTTTGTCTTAACGAGTACAACAGTGTAACTGGCCACTAGATGGCACTAAAACAGCTTAACTTCGAAATCGTTCGTTGCATTTGACAGCATTTTCGTTAATGGGCGATCGCCTACTATAAGAATTTTTATACTATTCTACTAAAATAAACTTTGGTAGGCTGTTTTTTTTTAATTTGGCATCTAAAAGACCTGCCACTTCTTTTTTTTAATTTAGATATCCAATTTAAAAAAAATCATGCGGATATCTACGTTGTTACTCGTTATATTATAAACATTGCACACGCTGTCAAAATTTCAGCCGGCAAGGTCCAGTTATTTGGGCAATGATGAATCAGGACAAGCAGCTTTAAAGAAATAAAATCCATTTATTTCAGACGTATAACGATCTAGAAGTTGTTAGTCACAATTTAATATAGTTTTACCCGTAATTATCTTAACCCAATGTCGTTGAAAGGGATTATATGGTCCCTCAGCAAACTTTTTTTAATTTATAGGAGTTTCTAATCCTTAAGTTACGCAAGCGTTGCAGTAAGGAGACCATTTCCTTACGTATGTTCGCATATTTTTATAATAAATATTCTTCTATTGGCTATAATTTAGAAGCGTATACTAAAAAGACAATAGAAACAAATGTTTTGAGCACCTCAAATTGTGCCGCGCCCCCGGTCGTGTGGGCTAAGATAGCCTGGCTGACAGCCAGCTGCACAGCCAGGACGCCACTCCGCAAGTGTGGATTGTGGGAAGAATACTCTGCTTCTGTTACATATCGCGCACGCTCTGTGCTTCTGAGACTATACTTCCATATATTATTCTCCTAAAAATACTTGAAGTTTTTGTATTAAGTATATATTTTAAGGGTTTCATCATTATACCTATCTAGATTGAATAACACCAATAATTATTATTTGTACGTGACAATATATTATATGTGACGTAACGGCTAATATAATAATAAAAACATTTTAATTATTGGATATTGATTTTGACAAATAAATAACCGTTGGCTTCCAAATAATCCAAATTACGGGATTATCGATGGGCGTGCCCCTGGAGAGATTGTATAGCAAATTGTTCAAATCGTCTTCTGTCGACGCGCTCATTATTTCTGTAAACATTGACATAATGTTATAATACAATTTACTATAATTTTGTACAGATGATATAATACAAAAACCCGCATTTTAACAACTCTATGTGAAGGTTCATTGATACGAATGATGCTGTCCAATATATTCTTGGTATAGGGAATTCTCATAAACCACAATTTAGCCTTCAGATTAAGAGGAAAAATTATTTCTTTATAATGTTTGTAATGATATTTTTTTAATTCTATAAACTTAGCATGAGATCAAAATGTTTGTAATGCTGTGGTTTCTTGAAGACCGAACAAATACATGGCTTTAGATTTTCCACAGTCAGGTTATTTCATTTTGGAGCTAATAAAACTTTTGTTCAAAAATTAAAAAAAAAATTAAAATATTTAATAAAACTTTACTAATTTTAGAGGACTACTCATCTATTGAATAAATCGTGATTAGAATACTTCTGATTATTATAATTATGCCTATTTATTGAACAGTACCTACATTGTTTCATAGATGCTCTATCTTATGGGAAAACTCTAGGATTTCCGAAATAAATATTACACTGAATACAGATAACATAATAGTTTATGCATAATAACCTCATTATCATAAAAACAATCCTAATGTATGTGTTAGTTTTATTAATTTTAGGTCAGCGGCTTTCAATAGATAAAAAATGTCAGAATGTTTGTAGATTTGGTCTACTTTTTCCCCGACTGTGGTGAAGTCCAAAGGAGGGTTATGTGTTTGACCTGGTATGTATTTATATATGTATGTACATTCTAAAATATACATATGTCCGACCCTATATTTACATATGCAAAGATTTGTTTCAACTTATTACCAACTCTTAAATTCGCAGCAGCTTTTGTCATAACAGAACTGTAAGGGGCAATGTTTGGTGCATATCCGAGTATATTCCTTTTGTTCAGCGATGCAAGGATATCATCGGACGTGAGAGGCGCTTCAGGAACAGCTTCGATTGGAGATAGAAACATTGGTTTCGCAATAAATATGGCCACAAGGAAAAGAACAGCTGAGAATAACGTTTCCAGAACTAAGAGTCGCCATCTTCGCCTTAAAGTTAATAATTAGATATTTAAAATATGTTATTATATATATACGAAATATTTACTATATTTTACTATAGGTTCTTGAAGAATGTCAAAATGTTTTATCTTCAAGCATGAAAAGAATCTACGTGACATTGGCCATTAACAAGAAAATGAATTGAATTCACATTACAAGTATAGAATAGTGTATCTATAGATTTTAAAACTTAAACACTGTATACCTTATTTTTTCTAGCTACCACGCAAGGGAGGCGAGAATTATTTTTTATTTTAAATTACTGATTTTACTTAACCACAAAAAAAAAAATAGAAAATTAGTCGACAAATAGAGAAGAATAAGGTACTGAACTATTTTGTCTTTGCCTTATTTTGACTCACCCTCGTTTCGCTCGGGTTCGTCCCTAGATGATTCTTTAAAATTTAAATTGACATAACTTTTTCATTTAAGATCCGATTGAAATAGAACATTGAAATAGAAACTAAATGTTAAGTAAAGCTTACCACAATACTTTGGTGAAAATCGCACCCAAATCGGTTAAGCTGTTTCTGAGAATAGCGCGCATAAACGCACAGATAAACCGACAAACACATAAACATTCTAAAAATCATTGTTTTATATTCTATTGCGTTAATGAAGACCTTCAATAATAGTTTTTCTTAAATATCTTCCATGTTCGATTGGTTACAATTTTACTATATGTAAAGATTATATAAAATTCGGGAAATAATAACTAAAACAAATTATTATTCAGTTCATGAATTTTAGTGTATAAAGAATATATATATAATAAGATTTATAAAGGCAACTGCTCTTTGAGGTTTACATATCTCAGTTTATTTCCACCAAAACTTATACTTTTGATACGAAGGCGAAGCTTCTTAGTAACTGATTGACATTTTAAAAGTAAATCAGCCGTTTAATCAATTATTAATAAATAAATCAATTATAAATATTATCTTTCAGTATATTTTTATATTTTTGTGAACACTTACTGTCTTTGAAGGTAAGATTTCCAAATGAGAATGCTAGTATGTCGTTGAAATTTACTACGTAGAGGTTTTTTTTTCGTTTCCACAGTCATTTAATATATATTTTTATTTCTTTTGTACTCAGATATAACTGACGGATTAAATAGCAAGTCAGAAGTTATAACTTGTCACAGATCAATTTATTTGACATAAATAGTAAATAATACCAATTGTTTTTTTTTAATTTTTAAATGAGCAGCAACATACTCGTAGCAAAGAAACCTCTTTTTAAAAATAACTTTTAACATTTCTGCTGATAAAACTATAATATTGTTTATTTTTAACATACTCTTACAATGTTAACTTTGATAAATTAATTCACATAATTATAAAAGTTATTATTACTATATTATTGCATCAGTTTTTTAATAATGTTTGTATCGATCTATAACTTTGCAACTTAAGTCAACGCCGAAATAGCTCAGTTGGGAGAGCGTTAGACTGAAGATCTAAAGGTCCCCGGTTCAATCCCGGGTTTCGGCAAATTTTAGTTTTAAATTCGTTTTCATCTTTTGTTTTATTATATAACATGACTTATGTATAAAATCTTAACGAGTACAATTTGTAACACTGGCAAGACTTGGGTACATAATAAATAAATAAAGGGAAAACTCATGTCGCTAATGTATATTTCCGAAGCTGATAACATCAGGATGTTTATGCATTGTATATTTTTTTTCTTCATTTCTTTTTAATGGAATTTACACCGATAAAAAAAGTACCAGATACACAATCCCACGCAAAAGTTCTCTTAAAACTGGTTATGGTTATTCTAGTTGATATAAATATACAACAATGTAAATTAAATCTTAAATGCAATATTCAAAATAAAAGTTGTTTTCACAAAAAAAAAATAATTTAAGCGCGCTCAATGAGCGCTCATTCGGTGAGGACATTTTTTCTACTTGACATTGACGAAGTAATTTGTGCCGAACTTGCACTCCTAGAAGCCACGAAATAAATTCAAGTGAGGACATTTTTTGTCGCTGATTGTGTATCTAGTACTTAAGGTGGAACTGCAAAATATACAACGTACATTCAATAAAATCGTATGTACATTTTCCATGACGCTATAGCTATGTAAGGGTTGAATTAAAAGCGAAAAATAAAACGTTCATAATCTCCAATTAGTCTTAAAAGTAAATAACTATGCGTAAAACACTTTAAATTATTAAATAACAAATAAATATATCTATACATATAATAAATTTCTAACTAAGCCGAATCTGTACTTTAAATATTTTTTGGAAAATATTATTGAAATAGATATTCCATAGTTTTTAGAATTGCCTGTCTGTGACCGCATCGCTGTTAACACGTTAAGTGCGAAGCGAGGCCTAAATCACCCCTTTTTTTTTTTTTTTTTTTTTTTAAACGTTGGGAAATGCATTTACGCACGACGTGTGGGACTCACCGGCGTAATACAGCCAGTACTACCCACTAAAACCCAACAACCTTCCCGTCTTAATGGGGCGTCGCAGGATCGCTTACGCATTCAACTACGACGCCCCGACGGCAGGTCTGCCGAAGCAGACCACCACAACCATGGGGTTGCTCCACAGTCCACTCTGCTATCAGAGAAGTACCAGGAGCAACCCGCATGGTACACCGACCCTGCCGCAGCTAACGTGTTAAAAATATTTTCATCAAGGAAATATTCTTTTCCCGTACAAGTTCACTGGTACTTATTATTTGAGCAAGTAATTTAGCAGCAAGTGTTAAACTATACACTATTGTATTGATAGTATAAATATGAGTTTGAGGCAATACGTGCCACAGTATTAAATTGATAAGAAATCAAAAATGTGTCGGTTGAATTTATTTTTCTTTGCCTTAGTTTTATTTGTGGTCGCAGCGGGCACAGGTAAGGTTGGCAGAATGTAATCAATAAATATGTTTTTTTTTGTTTTTAAAATTAAAATTACAACAACAATTTATAAAATGTTAACTGTACAGATTTGTTAAAGAAGAAGCTTTAAAAATTAATACTATGTATATTACCTAAGTATTATAATATATTCAATTTACCTACATCTTATACGTGTATTTAAATTATATTTAAATCTTACTGTTGCAGTATTAAAAAGTAAAATTATAAAAAAGTAAAATTATAGAATGAATAATTATTTTACAGAAGTACGTTTAAGACGATCACCACAATTCGGTCAAGCCAGCGCTAGTGCTTCGGCCTCAGCTGCAGGTTTCGGGGGGTTCGGAAGCCAGCCCAGACCAGGATTTGGAAACCCTAGTGGCAATTTCGGGCCTGGCGGTAATTTACCGTATCAAGGTGGTAACTTCGGAAGACACAACCCTCAACAAGGCTTTGGATACCCTCGCCAAAGATTTGGTGGCCCACCAGGGTTCGGTGGACCATCAGGTGGATCTGGTGAAACTATCAATATAGCGAAGAGTATAAGCATTACAAGAGGTTCTGGAGGACCATCACAAGCATCGGCTTCTTCATTTGGCAAATAGACGTTATAACGGATTAGAAAAATTATTCTAAACGGACGTGCATTTTAATATAAAATAAATTGTAGGTTTTATTAATAAAGACTTTTTTTTTAATTTAGTGCATTTTTTTAATTACAATATTCTTCCTTTTTATAATGATTAAACATTTTATATATACTTTGATTCCCATACAACCTCACAAACTCACAAACTTTACCTCTTTATAATATTAGTATAAATAAATGCAAAAACAAAATTTGATCTCTTTTACAATCGTGTATCGCATACCCGTGTTTTTGCAAGGTATATTACTTTGGAGACACGCGTAAGATAGTTTCACTCAAGTTTAAAGTTCAGAGAACAAAAAGTCTTTAAATAGGCTATAAGATTTTTTTTTAAATTAAAAGCAAACAGATTTATAACTTTTATTGATTTTTGTGTTATATATTAAAGAGAATTCATACGATTATTACAAATAAATAATTTATAATTTTAATACACACGCCGCACTGTAATATCTCCTGCGCAGATGGCTAGTGTCAGTGAGATTAGCCGCTGTGACCGAAATCGATCAGAAGGACATTATTAATACAAAAAAACCATCAGAAAGGATGTATATTAAGAGACCTCTTATCTGTTAAATTATTTAAATAGCTATCATGGCCACATAAATTTCAGTTACTAGTTTGAAGAATGGGGTTACGTTTTTTTCCATGAAAGGATTAAATTATTTTCCACAAAAAGCCTTGCTTGTGACAGTGAATGAGATGAGTTTATTGTATAAACACAAATATACACATATTTTTACATTTAATTTTATATAGAATATGTACATTATATTCATTTCACAACTTCATCTTCAATTAGACTTTTTGTGGAATATTATTTTTTTATTGCGAAAACAACTGCTGATCACTACTAGTGATATATGTACTGTACATTAAATATTTTTTGGAAAATCTTATTGAAATAGTCATTATTATTGATACAGAGGTCGAATCTATAGGTTTTAGAATTTTTGTCTATTTGTCTGTCTGGGAACGCATCACGAGTAAACCATTGGACAGATTTTGATGAAATTTGGTATGATGATAGCTGGTTATCCGGATATAGGATACTTTCTACATAATTATGGTTTTCGGGTTACATACGAAAAATAGGCGAAAAGTCGTCGAATTGCGGAAACCAGCTCGAATACTTATACCACCATATCATACCATACGTGTTTTTAATTCTTTGCGAGTATTTAATATGACAGTTAGATAGACAGACGGATGGACAGACAACCGCGAATATTGATTATATAAGGATTTTGAGAAATAGATCCCAAATTAAACATCAGGATAGAAACATAAAAAGTTACTTTTTACTCAAAAGAGAAAAAAGGGATGGAAATTAACATAAAATACTACTTATTTGCTAGCTTAAGGCCATGACTGTGATTACAACGGTCTACTCACTATAATACATTTTCATAAGTCTTTCGCGATCGAGCTGTTTCATGATTTTCCTAATAACTAAATAATTACCTATTTTGATATTTTATTTCCATCTGCAATTACAACAGCGCTCACACGAAACGAACGATATGATTATGAAATGATTGAAAAATTGAAATGATTGAATGAAATGAAATCTCGCAAAGTGTATGGATCTTTGTAGTAGAAGTAAACATTAGCGTCTGTTTAGAAGAAGATTCTCATCTTGCCAATTTTCTCGTCTTAAATTTAGATGAAAAAAAAACAAAGACATAAATCATAGTATCATCATTGTATGACGGGACTTCCCCTATAATATACACAATAAAATAAATCTCCAACGCGATACAATTAACATACAAGTCATAGCAAATTATGTTAACTATGTAAATTAATATTTTTACTCAAGTAAAAACCAACAATTATAAATTACATATAACTAATCTAGTATCACAACACATCACACAAACTCAATATGGTGTGAGTTTTCCTAAATTTTTCATGTTTACTCAAATAATTATCGTCTCGCTTGCAATAATATTACCAGGATATTCTTAGAAAACAATTTATCGCACTTCGAAAATGCTATATATTTGGAAGTAGCTCAATTTTATATCAGATTCGAAATAACTAACGATGGTGAAGTTTATAGCTTTAATATTGGGAATTAGTATCTTTAACGCACAATGTGCAGTTTACAGAAGTTCAGGTATAGCTTTCTTTTATTATACATAATATTAATCTCTACGAAATTATAATAATTATTAATATAATATTATTTACGAATTATCTATCTATATCTATCTATACATATAACAAAATTGTAACTGATGATATACATATTTGAGAAAATCTATTATTAGAGGCCTTTATCAATATAACAGAACCCAAAACAATGATTTTTAGAATTATTGTCTCTTTCTCTGTGCGTTTGTGCGCGCTAATAGCTCAGCTCAGAAATAGCTTAACCGATTTGGGTGCAGTTTGCACTAATATTTTGTAGTAAGCTTTGCTTACCATTTAGTATTATTTTATTTCATTCGTTTCGTAAATAATAAAGTTATGTCAATTTAAATCACCCCAGCACGAATTTCTAAAATATCGCTAGTTATTATATAATTTCTAAAACAAGAAGGACGTATAAAAAGAATCTATACATACTTGAAATTAATATTATTTTACTGAAATTTTATAAGTTATTATTAAGCAGCTAGTACGTAATTCCATATTAGGTTTTACAATATGTACTGTATAATATATATATATATATATATATATATATATATATATATATATATATATATATACATACATGTAGGTATTGCATTATCAAGCTAAATTATTATTGTTATTGTTACAGACGCACAACTTCATCGAGTAGTTCGATCTCCTCACTATGGATCTAATCACTTTGAAGTTGGTTTTCCGCCACCACCCCCACCCCCACCACCGCCGTTCCTGTACCACACTCACAACTGGAGTGGAATTGCACGTGGTGCTGGAGGAAGAGCACACGGAGTGTTCAGTGGAGCAGCTGCCACAGCCGAGAGTGCTTTCCCTGGCACAAATGAAGCAGTTTCATTAGCTGCTGCTAATACTTTTGGTGGTCAATCTGAAAATTGCGATGATGATTTTGGGGCCAAAGATCAATCTAGCCAAAATCTAGGTAGTTCAAAATTGACACAGTCCAGTAGCAGGTCCTTTGGAAGTGGATCAGGCTACGATGGCCAAATTGGGTCTTTAGGTATCGATAGCGGATCTGGAGGCAGTCAGTCAGGTCATTACAATTCAGGTTCTTCTGGATTTGCAAGTAATTCGGCTGGCAGTGAAGCTAGAGGCTCTGGAAGTCAATCAGGGCAATATACTGGTGGTGCTTCAAGCGCACAACAACAAAATAATGGATTTGGCGGACACGCTTCAGGAGCCCATGCAGGACTTACTGGAAGCTCTGGTTTTGAAGCAAGGGAAGTTTACAAGGAATCACATTTGTCTTCTCAAAGTAACGATAACAGTTTCGGAGCTCAGGGAGGGAATGCTGGTTTATTGAATCAAGATGGATTTGGTGCAAATGAGCAACAATCTGCTTCTAGGGGATTTAGTAGCTCTCAAGCTCAAAGTTCATCGTTTGGAAGCAATGGTGGATTTGGTTCCGGTTCTTCTCAAGGAAGTCATTTTGCGAACCAAAAATTAGGATCAGAATCAAGTGCTAATATTCCAGCAGTATCTGGATCACAAGAATTCTTAGCTGCTGGTAATGGAGGTTCCTTTGCACATGGCCACGGCCACCATCAATTTGATAGTTCAAATTACCATGGCAGGAGTCAGCAATTACAGCAACTACAATCTGCTAGTGGTGGTCAATTTGCCAATGGTGGTCAATCTGCTAGTGGTGGTCAATCTGTGATTAGTGGTCAATCTGCTAGTGATGGTCAATTTGCTAGTGGTGGTCAATCTGCTGGTTTCAGTGACTCCACTAATGAGCATCAGGAAGGTTCGGTTTCCGGGAGCACAGGCGCATCTGCTCGTGGGGAAGCTCAATCCACTCTCAATGGGGCTTTAGACCTAGCTTCACAAGGCTTGCAGGCGTCTGATAAAGCAGGATGTAGCACTTGTCAAAAAAGTAGCTTTGCACTAAGTAATGCTAAAAGTTGGAATGGAAACGCAGTTTCTTTGGCCATTGGAGGTTAAATTCTATATACGGATAAAATTGTACATGGGTCATTCTACTTTTGGAGAGAAAAAAAAATTAAAAAAAAAAATCTTGAATTTTACGGTTTTCTCACTTTTATTTTATTTAATATCACAAATAATCACAATAAAAATTAGAAGTAGAGGTCGTGTTCTATTAATTTTTGAATAAAACGATTGATATTGAAAAATGGTGATAACAGAGTTGAAGCAGTACATCACAGTTATGACGATTTTCTAATAAAATAGCACTTAAAGATATTGAAGAAGATTCACTACAGGGTATATTAGAAAAACAGCCCCCACGTTAACCAAAAACAAAATAATCATCGACAAAATTAATAACAATAGGTAAAAAAAAAATATCAAAGATGTGATCACATAAATGACGTCCTGTCTGTTATCATCTAGCAACATTTAGATACGATATAATAGCTCAAAATTCTATAATTACAAAATAGTTTAAAACATAACAAAGGACTTGTTATGCATTAATTTATATATTTTTCTTAAATATTACAAAGTTTAAATTAATTGAGATCAATTTTAACGTAATAAATAAATTAAGCTTTCAACGCAATAAACAATTTAATCTTAAAGTATCGGTCAGGAGGTCGCAAAACGGCGATGCAACCTAGTCGAAAATTCAGGCTAATCAAACGCAAAAATACCTCTCATTAAAGAGTTCTTTTTTGTTACGTAACAAGTAAAGCAAAAATTTAAAAAAGAAGATTAACCAGGAAGTTAAAAAATGTTTTCTTCTGAAGAACTGTGTAATATGAGACACTTTCTTGGCTTTCGTACTTCCGATTCAAATTCAGAAGTAAATATTCGATCTATATATTTTTTTCTCTTTATTTCTTTTTCAACTCACTCATCTGAAGAAGAATTGTAGTAAAAGTTTCGGCTGCGTTTTCAAAGAACCGACACCGCAACAGGTTTATTTTCATGATCTGAATCATCAAAATTTGACAGATTGTCATCGTCAAGTACACATAATACGGTATTTCTGTGAGAAGATCCGGGCTGTTCAAAAAAACGTGAATCATTCAACTATCATTACACTCAGAATCATCAAAAAGTGTCGAGCATTTTCTTTCTTTAAGAATAGACGAGCTAGCCATTAGGAAAGGATTGGGTTCCTGTAGAATACGACGAACTGAGTGAGAATTATCAAATCGTATTAAAGATTCGGTACAAGGAGGAGAACTGCTTTCTGATGCGCGAGCTTTCTTATATGTTTTTTTGTCTGAAGTATCTAATGTATGATCACTATGTGACGAGGAAGGAAAAACTTCACCTTCATCGAAGCTGTCACGAATGGCTTCTGTATTGATTATACCTATTTCATAATGTGGACAGATTTGATGTGGATGACATTCAGTGCAACTTAATTTTCGAGCATTAAGAAGACCCGGGCTATTTTTGTTCCAAGCTACTTGGTGTATGGTGAATGTACCTTTAAACGTTTGCGCCAAACTTCTTGACAGCAAATGTTTAATGGTCGCATTATTGTCATCATCTACAGGTAAAATTTGTACACCCTTGCAGTTTTTTATCAAACATTGAACCAATTGTTGAAAATTAGCCACGTCATAACCTCTGGCTACCGATTGATCTGCTGTCCGTTTTATGGTTGCGCCAATTCCATCAGGTGATCCTTTGCTGTGTCCAGTTTCATTGTAATGCCACACTAGATTTTGACGTCTAAATTTACAGCAAGGAAATTAGCCATCAAGAAAAATTGATTTATTTCGATATTGCGAAGATGGTCCATCACTAACAAAATGCATGGTCTTTATGGTAGAACATAAACCTTTGATTATTTTAATAACTGGTAGTAAATGATTGCAAATCAATACTGGGTCATGCCTGAGATTTTCAGAAATTGTGCAAAATGGAGTTATGATAGAGTCAGATTCCACGAAATGTACAACGCTGTTACAACGCGTTTTGTACTTCTTCAGTCTTATCTCCATTATTCGCAGTTTTTCTCTCAGCAAAACGTTCTCTAATTTTAAACGTCTTTTGTTCTTTTCTTCCAACCAGACTCTGCTCTTGATCTAGAACTAGAAGATGTAGGGCTATCTGGAAGAGTGTCATTTTCAACAAAATCCTCAGTTTGTTGACGAATTTGTTCCATTGCTTTTTTCTTATCACGATATTTTTTCGGTCTTTCTTTCCACTGCTGTATTATTATTTTTTGAGCTCGAGGTATTAATTCATTGATGTTACTTATCAATCCCTGTTCTTTTTTTCGGTTGTATCGTTCTCTGTCTTTTTTTCGCCTTTGTTCCAGTTGTTCTTCTGATAACTTCTGTCGGTGTCGCCTCATGGCGTGTTTTACTTGCTCTCTACGTTTCTGTGAATTATTTTTTTTAGTTTTCTTATTTTGTCTTGCATTTGGAGCCACGTTGCAGCTAAAAATAACAAAAATTATCTATAAACTCCTATCGTCTATTAATCATTTCCACAAGCAATATTTCGTCATAAATATAAGTTTTAAATACCTATTTATATCAAAGTAGCAATATCACCAATATTTAATTAATATTATTCCCAAACATTTAAATATAACAATAAAAAAATCCAAATTGTCACTTCAGTGATCGTACATCATTTCTGTTATCATGCTCATAACAGGCGTGACGATCACGGAAATGACGGAACGTAGGTTTACCCGCCATATTTCTCTTGATAACAAAGTCAAACACTTTTACTCCACTAGTATCATATGAAACATCAAAACCTATGCAAGCCGAGTGATTTTACATTTAATTTCAAAAACCTTACCTTTGCACAGCTTAAGCAGAGATGACGCACGAACTTTTACACAGTGAAAATTACAAATATATTATTTTTTTATTAAAAAACGAATAAAACTCTTTCACTCTGAAGCCGCCATCTAAATGACAGGTAACGTAATGTTGCAACTTACTTGAATTTAACCAAGCTAAGCAATGTTACTAGATTTTTTTTAAATTTTTACCCCTGATAACAGAAATGACAAATATTTTGTAACACAAGTAGAATCATGTATAACTTTTCGTGTGCTTCGCTCAATTTTATATGCTTTAAGTATCATTAACTGGACTATATTTCAAAACTAATTATAATAGTGACAGGTTAAAAGACTTAATAATAATATTTTTTAAAGTCACCTAAATGTTACAACATATGAAAGCCACAGATAACAGGACATGACAATTAGCAATTCCGACCCTTAAAATTTTTTGAAAAATAAAAATTTATAACTAATTTATTGCACCTAATGAAAATTACGATTGAGATCCTTTATAAAAGCTAAAAATGAGACCATAAAGTAAATTATTTCATGTTAATTTTCCCAACGCACACTTTTTTTGCTGTAGAATAGAATTACCCACATACGATTTATTGCAAGATCATTATTTTTTGTTGTTTTTTTGTGGTAAATTATAAAACTATTAAAAATTACTAGTCTATTTTATTTTTCTTTTGTAAAATTTTAGATACACATTAAAATTGAACATTTTTAAAGCTGATTACCTATATTTTTTCCTTATCCCCTAATATTAATGATAAATGTATGTAAATGTACTATATATGTATATCAGTATTCATATTTTTTTATTTTAAATACAAAATCTGCGTATATATTACAGTGTACCTAAATATAAATTCTATTTAGAAATTAATATGAAAAAAGCAAATAAAATAAAAGAAAATTATTCTGTGAATTATTTATATAAATTTTTTTTACAATTTATTTTAACCACAATACATTTTTTATTACAATTCTATATTTTTAGAAACTCACATGTATATACATAATATGTACGAGTTTCCACTAAGCATGGAAATGATTGCTACTTTTAAATCATTATCATGTGATAAAATTACGTATATTTTATACGTGATTTCACCTGCTACTTTTCACGCATAGATTTTTAATTTCGACGGTCTGGTGTCAAACTTTATATTATTTGCTATTAAAATGAAGTATGAAATGTCACCAATGGCGCTACTGATGTGATATGGAGCAGAGATATAGATCTGACGTAGTTGCATACGTACATGGTGCTTTGAATGAACCTATTTTCAAACTTTATTTAATGCTTATCAAAACAAAAGATAAAAAAAACAATTAATGCTACAATATATATTATATGAGGCAAAAATATTTTGTATGATCTTTAACTTAACGTGTAATTTATAGTTATAATTATAATTATATATCATTTATTTACCTTATTATTATAACATTAGTGATAATTCAAACAGAAAATGAAAACACTTAAAAATTATAAACAAATTGTATAATTATCTATCATTCTATCCATTATGACAGAATTTCTAAATGCTGATCTCATTTAGTATTTATAAAGACAATATTTAGAATTTGTTTTTCTACTTTGTAATATAGTTTGATGATAAAATAATTTTACTACCAGACATTGTACCTGGGAGAGTTTCAAATTGCAAAAATGTGCTTGAAAATAACCCTATTTGCCTACTTTGTTATCCAAAAATAGCGCCCAGAATTCTTAAAATAACGCATCAGCAACATATATTTTTCTCGGTACGGTATAAACGTTGACACTTGACGACGCGTTGTTTTCTGTGGAATAATGCACGATCAGCAAACCATTTCAATTGGAGAGTTACAGGATATCTAGTACCCAGAAATTTTAATTATTTATAAATCTTTATAATTTTTAAAAACTTTACTAACAATATTTTTTTATGAATAAATTTTGAAATTAAATAATAAATAAAAAATAGGTAATTTAAAAATGAAAAGTAACGCCATCTTTCACGTTAGTGTGACGTCGTAATGCATATATTATATTTTAAAATCAATTGCGCGAATGATTTATTAAATCACAATCTGTACGTATTACACATAATCATTCAGTAAAAATTATAAGTATTTGTTGGATAAAAAACTAAAAATGTGCTCTACATTTAATTGTTGTTTCTAATTTAAAATTATTTCTAAACAATATTTCTAAGAATCCGAAATCATGCAACTCGAAATAAATAAACTCCCCAATTTACTCATCAACGGTATTAACTGAAAATTGTATTTTGTTGAATAAAAAATCAATAAAAACATCAGTACGAAAATGTATACGGAAAATGCGAGTAACGAAATGCATTTGTGAGTAACGTTTCGGTACTCGGTACTAGATGGCGTACCCGTTACTCAGTAACGAATACATACGGTTTGCTACAGCTCTAGATTTCACCAAGTTGTGATTTGTAGCAGTCACTATGAATTTAAGTAGCAGGTGACGTATGATAACGCATTTCACGTGATTTTTCACTTGCTACTCGTGAAATGTTCCATGCCTAGTTTCCACGTCGTGTCCGCTTACGTATATTTAATTTTAGCCATTTTTAATTTGAGTAATGAAATGTAGTATAAAAAATTTGAAATTAAATAAAAATAAATTATTCATACCTTTAACCTACCATTCTACCTTAAAATTAATCAATAGAATTACAATTTAATGTAAGCCTTAATGTAAAGTGCTTTTTAATTTAACACGACAATAATGACGAGGATACGTACTTGTAGGCTATAACTATAAATAACTTGGATTTTAGATTATACTAGCATTGCCCGTGGCTCCGCCCGCGTTCAGATGACCAAAAACCAAATTTTTAGGTTTTACATATTAGTATACTCTTACAATGCAGTTTTTGTATTTCTTCTTAGAAATGAGATATTTTTCCGCGGTAAAAAGTATCCTATATGTTGACCAGGATAACCAGCTATCACCATACCAAATTTCATCAAAATCCCTCCAGTGGTTTTTCTGTGATGCGGTAACAGACAGACAGACAGACAAAAATTCTAAAAACTATAGATTCGGCCTCTGTATCGATAATAATGTCTATTTCAATAAGATTTTTCAAAAAATATTTTATGTACTGATTCGGCTTAGTTAGAATTTTATTATATGTATAGATTATGGTTCCACAGATCATATAATATAATATTAGTTTGTGCACAAGAAAGTGGTAAAGAGATAAGACTTTTCTGCACTGTTTCTTGAAAATTAAACAAATTATAATAATGACAAGCTTAATCGATCTGACTAGGTTGAATTATATTTTATTAAGATAAACCAAAGCAAACAAAAATGAAAAATCCGTTTAATTGAATTTGAAAAACCTCCTTTTAGATATTTTTTTTACTTTTTAGAGATTTAAAAATTATCTTTATGAAAAGATTCTATCTATACATATAATAAAATTCTAATTGAACCGAATCTGTAAATTAAATATTTTTTGGAAAATCTTATTAAAATAGTCATTATTATCGATACAGAGATCGAATCTATAGGTTTTAAAATTTTTGTCTATATGTCTGTCAGTCTGGGAACGCATCACGAGAAAACCATTGGACAGATTTTGATGAAATTTGGTATGATGATAGCTGTTTATTCGGGTCAATGTATATATAATACTTTTTACTGCGAGGAAATATCTCATCTCTGCGAGATCTATACTAGGTTACGTTAAAGCGTAACGAGGGTGAGTCGTTGGTTTTAATATATGAATGGGTGATTTTTGAAAGGCAAAGTAAATAATAATAACAAATACTCTTTAGATATTGTACACACCCATATAAATTTAATTAAACAAGCAACAGAATAAAAAAATTACATACAAGAGGCGGGTCCATCGCTAAAAAGACTGGCTGTTAAAACGTACATCAAACGAGAACGGCTAACCAGATTCGAATTTCATCTCGTATTTTTTCGAATTTTTTAGAAAGCTAATAGTTAAATTTCAGTTTAATTAAGTAGTTCATTGCCACAGTTACTGTAATTATAGGTTTTCGTATTAACAAAATCCATGTTTAGTGATACTTTCTAAGATTTACGCGAATATTTGACATCTTAAATAAAACTGTTACAGACATGATCTTATCTAATTATAGTATAATTATGTGGGTCGATGCTGTGTAATAACTATATACTAACCTTTGATTCCAAAATCTGAGTCTCTCCCGTGACCATGATTGCTGTAAAGCAATCGAAACGTCGGAAACCAAAAAATAAACCCGGGGAAAAATCGGAAAAAAGGTTTTATTTAAAATGTACGTTTAGTGTTTAAAAGAGTATTATAGTATACCTATATATTCTTAATTACATATTAACAAAGTAACACAGATAATACAGAGACTAATGTGGGTATAATATGACTTAATAGAAATAAACGCGCAAGCTAGTAGCTGAAATTATTATTTTTGCTCACTTTGTAGTGACCCTAATTGCTGTGCTAGCGGGCGCGGATTCGAGTCCCGCTGGAGACATTCATTTGTGTGATGAGCACGTCCAGTCATAGGTGTTGTTTATATTTATAATACGTATGTATTTAAAGTTATACTCGTATATGTGTAGTGTATCAACTATCTGGTATCCATAACACAGGCCTCGTAGCTTGCCATGGAACTAGATGGTGCTGTGTGTTAATGTCCCAACATATTTACTTATTTATTTATTCTTTGAGTTGAGAAATTTTGTTGTCACAATTGCATAGAGCGCTTGTCTTCGTATATTCTGTATAGTACAGGGCTAATAATCGTATTAATATTCCATTATACAAATAAAAAAGTGAGCTAAAAAGATAGGAACAAGTTTTATGCAGTCGGAGACACATGTATGTACATGTTTTATACCTACTTGCTGCAAGAATTGCTCCGTGTGTGTTCATAAGTCTCCTACTGTATAACACTATGTTCCTTCGTCAACTTGATCCCTATCTTTATAGTTCACTTTTTACGTAATCGAGATTTTAATTTTTAAAATTTGATTTTTAATTTACGGCATTTTAGTTTTAGCTAGTAAAACATTTGGAGTATACTTAATTTAACAATTTATTACTTTTAAACATGTAAATCGTATTAATTCATGTAATTGCCTCTTAAAAACTTTCATTTTGACACCCCGCTTCGTAGGTATATGTTTTTTACAATCATACATACAAATATATACAAAAATACATAAATACAGGTCAAACACATAGCCCTCCTTTATGCTTCGCTGCAGTCGGATAAAAACTAGAAAGCCATTCTTATAACAAAAAATTGTATTTTCCGTCTGCCACGTAAATGTCAATCCAGCCATTGCTAAATACATAGTTAAACTAAACAGTAAACTGTACACAAATTACGTTTGCACTGTACTTTGGGAATCACTTAGAAAAATTGTATTTAACATCCTATTAGCACTTATAAAAATCAAGTACTTTCAAGAAATACCTTCTTATATGTTACTGATCTATTTATATTGACAATAATAATTTAAATAAATAAATATATTATAAAATAAAAACTCGACTGCATATATATATATATATATATATATATATATATATATATATATGTATATATATATTGATAATATATCTATTTATTTACAGCTTTTTAAGTATTCTTAAGTAGGAAAAATTAGCCAGAATGGTTGTTAACCAATCATTATATAACCTAAAATGTTATTTAAAATGTATAATACCGGGATGTTGTACCTTTTTGGAATCCTTGTTATGAGCCCTTTATTTTGATACCCATATTGCAGAAAAAGAAGATTAAAAAAATGTCACCTTAAGCAATGAAATCTAGCAGCCGCCATTTTTTTATGTCACCTATCTAAGAACACTCGGACTAATGAGACGAATCTAACGATACCTTAATTAAAGAAATCCATAGAGTGGTTTGGAAGATATGAGGGAATAAAGAATATTATAAACAAACAAACATACAAAACATATCCCTTGCTTTGCAGTCGGGTAAAAATACTATAATGCTGTAATAAAATATTAATTATAATTTCTATCGATTAATTTGAAGGTTTGAGTAAATTAAATACGCCTTGGAATTAGAAACGTCGTTTTATTTTTGCTGTTTGATAATTTTATTAGGTAGTAACAGAACCGTGAATTGTATTGTTTTTTGTCTAGAAATAGCACTATATTAATTATGGTTACTCTTTGCACTGGTACATTATGCGGTGCTCGTTTGTCGTTGTCGATTTGGCCAATTTTCACTGAGATTAGCTAATTACGAAGGAGATATTATAATTCACAAGAACTCGAAGACGCGAGTTTGCACTCTTGATTTCACTCTTAAATTGCTATTGGACGATAGTTCAACATGACCGGTAAGAGATCAGTTGTAGGACCGATGAGTTCACGTGTTCTCCGAGGCACTGGCGTGAAACACCTCAAGCTTCCTAACACCGGACTGTTATTGACATTTTTTTAGCAAAGATACTCAATAACTAAACTTGGCCCGACTCGGGACTCGAACCCAGCACCTACGAATGGGATGATCCAGTGGACATTACACCACTGAGGCAGTCTTGTGTTACTAGTACCGCGGCTTGACCAATACGTAAATTGCAAGTAATTATTATTATTAGTACTTATTATACGTTTGCAGATACGAATTAATTCATTAAACAATAGCATTCCCAAGGAGGGTGGATGTCAGGCAGGTGGCGGGTCGTAAAACTTTTGCCAAATCCTATCAGCCGTACAGAAGATGTACTGCGCCGACCCCAAGTGATTGGGAAATGGGCAGGGGAGAGAGAGATACGAGTAATTCGATTACGTAATAAAGTATGGAATGATATAATATTTACTAAAATAAATCAATTCACACGTAAGCCATAATATGTGCTCAAGCTATTATCACGGTACGATGCAGGATCTGATTTTAGGTATTTTGTCGATTTGACAAAATTTAGATGATATAAAAACTATTACATGATGTTTTTGATCATAAATGAAAAATGCCTCGACTTGGCATCGTCTTTTTACAAGTTTTTTTAGCATTTCTTGTCGTACAGTGCTCCGCTCGCAGTGTGGAGAGTACTAGTATGTATGAAGCCATTGTATCCAATATTTTTTAAATTTTGTATTTTTTGTAAATTATTCATTTCGTTTTGTTTCTAATATGTTGTCTTTAAATATAAAAATAAAATAAAATTAAAAGATATTAAAAATACTTGCCTATGATAAAGACATTTAATTTAAATATTATGTAATTACAGATGGCGTTCTAATACAGAGACTTAAACGATCATATTATGAATGTGATCCACCACCACCGGCCCCGCAGCCACATTGGCCACCACCTCCGCCACATTGGCCACCACCACCACCGCCGCCGCCGCCGCCGCCACCACCACCACCACCACCACAAGGATATTGGCCACCACCGCCACCACCACCACCACCATTCTGGCATCATCAACACCATCATGGCCATCACGGCCACGGATTTGACAAAGACGACTTTCAACGACTAAACAGTCAAAACCAGGGAGACGTTGCGATTCCTTGTGACACATGTCACAAGCAGAACACAGCGGAAAGTAACTCATTCAGTGTTAATGGCAACGCTGTAGCTATTGCCATAGCCAAAGCTAGTGGTAAAAGATAAGCTATGATAAAGAATAAAGAGAGTATACCGTGTAAGCATGTCAAGATAATATTTAAATAATATACAAATATTTTTTGTGTATCCTACTAATATTATAAATGCGAAAGTTTGTGAGGATGTACAGACGTGTGGATGTGCAAAAACTACTAAATGGACTACTAAATGGATTTTAATGAAACTACAATAAAATAGCTCGTATATATAACACATAGGTTACTTTTATTCCAGAAATAGATACTATTCCCGTGGGATAGATTTGTTTGTAATAATAATGTGTTTTTCAAATATAAGTATAAGTATATCTAACGTTTAGAGAAATTTCTTGTTTTATTTTTAGCCTTGATAAAATTAATGTCCCGATAACGACTTTCTTGAGTATATTTCGCAACTGAAAAGTTCCAATATGCATCTCGTGACTCTGTAATTAATTATTCATAGATCAGTTGGATTTTCAAATATTTATGTATTTTCAACGGAAGTACAGTTTATAGTCAATATGAAAACTTAAAATTTGTTTATATTTACTTTAATTTCATGGTTTTATTCTATATAGTGTTCCCCCGTGTTCAAAATTCGACCATATTTTTAATGAAATTAATCATTAATTAAATATATTATTTTTCATTAAAATGCTCATATATAAAGATGCAACATACATCGAGCATACTAAATACGTACTTTTTTGAAGTTGGTTGTTTGGAAGCAATTTTACGAGATTTACAGATGTTCTTAGCAAATGCTTGATAAATTATACATAATTATAATAGATAAATTAAATGTTATTGAACTTGCAAATTATCCATCTTTGCAAGTTTTGATCAGCAATTGAAATTAAAAATTTATAACTAACTGATAAAATTAAAGTTATGTGTTATTCAAGTGTCCATAAAAGCTTTACTGGACTAATAAAAATTTTATGTTACTAATAGTCAATTTAATAATTTAAAAATGTCTTCTAAGCTTTCATTCACATCAATATTATTAAAATTTATGAAATACTAGCGACTTACCCTTGCTTCTTGTTTATTTTTAATTAACACTAATACGTATATTAATTAATAGTTAATATTAATATGTAAAGAGAAAATTTTGTACCACATTTTATGCAAATTGCACATACGATGGAGTGCGAGCTTTGGCATGATTAAAGTTTATATGGAGAAGCTTTAAGATTGCAGAGAGCTAAAACTTATCGACTTTTTTTTTTACTTTTTTTTTATGTAAACTACGTGTCAATCTAAATGCTGCATCGTCATATTAAATAGTCTATAAATTTCATAAATTTTAAACTAATAATATAAATGGCTCAAGAGTTGTTATCTGCAGGTCCTAATCCCTGCAACTATGTTCTTACTTGAAAAAATATTTGTGCTTTTCTAGAATGTGTTTTCTAAAAGACGTTATAGGTTACCTATGTACCCGGGGGAGAAGCCGACTCCTACCGGGCGCGTCCCCAGGTGGCGGATAGGGGAATGCCACCCGCTTAGGGCGGCGGGTGGTACCGGAGAAATCCGGCGCGGACCAAATGGCTTGGGTGGGGCCGCTCGTCTAGGCCTCGAGCCGAAGACGTTGCGGCCACCGGTGGTGGGACCGTTTGGTTCCACAACCGGATGATGGGTGCCGGTTGCGGGACTGTGGTCGCAGGCCCGCATCCGGCGGAGGAGTAGGCCGCGGCGGGAGAGGAGTGCCGGTATTTCGGTGCGCCGTTCTCCCTACCTTCCGCGGCCTAGACGGGGCCGCCACCGTTTGATGGCGGACGCGGTGGGGCTGCAGGGGAAGAGGAGTGTCGGTGTTTCGTTGCCGCTCTCCCTGTCCTCTGCAGCCGATTGGAGGTGGCCCACTTCGGTGGGCGGTGGTTAGGTTTAATGGGGCTGCTCCGGGTACCTCTCTGGCGTAGCAGAGTTGACTGTGGAGCAGCCCCATTGGTTTGGTGGTCTGCCTTTTTAGGCAGACCTGCCGCCGGGGCGCCGTAGTAGTTATGCGCAAGCGATCCTGCGGCGTCCCATTAAGGCGGAGGGGAGGGGAATGTCGGGTTTTAGTGGGTAGTACCGGCTCTTCTAGCCGGTGAGCCCCACATCAACACCTGGGGGATCAGGTGGTATGCGTAAATGCATTTCCCGACATAAAAAAAAAAGGTTACCTATGTAATTTAGACAAAATTACAACCAATCTTAATGACATTAGACTAATAGAATTATATATAATAACATAGAATTACACTAATTTTCAAACACGAAGAGTGTCAGGTGTGGCAACACTGACCAGTGTATCTATGGTAATTGTGAATAAGATATAACTTATAGATCATTAGAATATGGCGACTTGTTGTAAGAGAACTATTGTGAACCTATATTACATCGAGGTATTAAAAACGTTGATTAAAATTATAAGTATTTTCAATCGAACCAATATCACATGGCGCTGCGGACAGCTACAAAAAACTAATAGGGAAAAGAGATCTGCAAATTTCCGGTAAGGGACGCCGACACGCGGCACGCCACACGCCGACGCCATTTGAACGCCATTAAAGATTAAAGGTAAAATTGCATCTTATCTTTTTAAAAAATGGATTTGTTAAAGCCGCCTCCACCGCTTAAAATAGCGGGGGCGAGCAATTTAAAACAAGCTTTCCATGATTGGAAACAAAAATTTGAGCTATATTTCTTGGCGAGTGGGGCGGAGAAGAAACTAAGTCCGGAACAAAAGAAGGCACTATTACTTCATACAATTGGGGACGATGGATTAAATTTGTATAATACATTTGAGGATAAAGAAAACTTAACATTCGAAAAGTTACTAACTCAATTAGAATTACATTGCAGACCGCCGAGCAATGAGTCTTTTAACAGACACGTGTTCTTCTCTAGAAAACAAAAAGATGGTGAGACTTACGATGAGTTTATCACTGAGTTGAGGAAGTTAAGTTTAGATTTGTAACTTTGAAACACTAAAAGATGGTTTAATTAGAGATCAAATAATATTAGGTATACAAGATGCAAAATTAAAAGAAAGTTTATTAAAAGCTACGGATTTAACATTAGAAAAGTGTATATCAGCATGTAGGATTGCGGAAACAGCCAAAAAGTAGGTTGAGGAGCTGAAAAAAGACAACACTGATGTGGTTGCAAAGATAAATAAGCCGAAGACCAAATCTGAACCAAAGACTAGGTACCAGGTTGGGTCACGGACCAATTGGAGTAAGGCAGGGAAGCAGCAGAAACCTAGTGAGACTAACATGAGTAATACATCAAAACAGAGTGTGTGTGGGAAATGCGGTAGAAAGCATCTTTATGGGAGATGTCCGGCATTTAATAAAAAGTGTTTGAAGTGCCAAAAGTACAATCATTATGCAACACAGTGCTATAATAAGTGTGGTTTAGTGAAACTAAATAGTGATGAGAGCGAGGACTCATTTAAAATAAGTACAGTGAACTCTATTGTAAAAATAAATAGAGACTGGTTAATAAAAAATTAAAATTAAAGATAAATATATAAATTTTAAAATAGATACAGGGTCGCATGTAGATATATTAAGCTTAGAATTGTGCAAAAAATTAGGATTAAGTATGTATAGGGATAACAATGTCAAACTTACTAATTTTGATGGTTCACAGATAAAGGTTATAGGAGTCTGTAATGAGTATATTACTTTAGGGGAAAATAGTTGTAAAACAATATTATACATAGTTGATTGTTGTAAAGATGGCATATTAAGTTATAATTCAGCTCTTAAGTTAGGAATAATTAATAATATTAATAAAATTGAGGTCAAAGATTTTCAAAAGTATTAATAGTAGTTCTCAAATGTTAATAGAAAAGTATAGTGATTGTTTACAGGCTTAGGAATGGTTAAAAAACTATGAGTATAATATCAAATTAAGAGAAAATGCAATACAGTAGCTGAGAGGCCTAGGAAAATTCCATTTCAATTACAAAGTAAAGTCAAGCAGGAACTACATAGGATGGAAGAAGCAGGTGTTATTAGGAAGGTGATAGAGCCTACAGAATGGGTAAGTTCCATGGTGATAACTAAAAAACCTCTTAATAAAAATAAGGATTTGCTTAGACCCTCAAAATCTGAATAAATTTATTGTTAGAGAAAGATATAAAATGAGCACATTTGAGGAATTAGTAGCTAAAATGCCTCGAGCTAAATATTTAGTGTGTTAGATGCTTCTAAAGGTTTTTATATGATAAAACTGTCTGAGAGTAGTCAACTATATACTACATTTAATGCAGGGGATTTTGGTAGGTATTGTTACAAAAGATTACCTTTTGGTTTAAATTCAGCTCCGGAAGTTTTTAGTAAATGTTTTTCAGATGTATTTAAAAAATATAGTAGGTGTTGAACAGTACATTGATGAGTTAATAGTATGGGGTGAGACATTAGAGGAGCACAACCAAAGACTACAGAATGTTTTAGAAAGGGCAAAACAGGCTGGAGTTAAATTTAATAAAGAAAAATGTAAGTTTGGGGTCACAGAAGTAAAATATGTAGGACATATTTTAAGTGCAGACGGGATAAAAACCTGATCCAGAGAAAATTAGAGCAATAATAGAGATGAGTGAGCCAAACAGTAAAAAAGAATTACAAACCATATTAGGTATAGTTACTTATGTGTCTAAATTTATACCTAACCTATCAGATGTTACATATTCTCTTAGGGAGCTATTAAAAATAAATTCAGCTTTTGTGTGGGGTGACAAACAGAGAAAGGATTTTATTAAATTAAAAGAGTTATTGTCATCTACACCCGTCCTCAAATATTTTGATATTAATAAACCTATAACATTATCTGTAGATAGCAGTAGTACAGGGTTGGGTGCAGTGTTATTACAGGATAATGCACCAATTGCATATGCATCTAAAGCACTCACAGATTGTCAAAAATCTTGGGCTCAAATTGAAAAAGAGTTATTGGCCATTGTTTATGCTTGTGAAAAATTTCACCAATATATTTATGGTAAGCATATAGTTGTTGAGACCGATCATAAAC